CTCACACTTTGTACTTTGTATTTTCTATATCCTAGAGTAGTGTAGTTTGCACATTGTGTTTGGTTGGGTGTACACCTACATCCCAACCAAACCCAAATGCAATCTCCAAGCAATCTCCAACCCACCAATTGGAGATTGCCTTGGGATTACCCCCAATCCCTAGGGATTGCCCCCGATTCCCTTCCCCATCCATTCCCTACCCTTCTTGGATGTACTTAAAGAGCTTCAAGCTCATTACTAATGCATCGCTTCTAAGCCTAGTTCTGACACGAGTGACTCATTTAAACGAGAAGACGGTGCGAGTGCAAAAAAGACAGCGCATGTGATGCCAACCACAGCCCCACAAGAGCCACTACCAGCCTGCACCTGCACCTGCACCTGCACCTGAACCTGAACCTGAACCTGAGGGGGAGCGGGCTCAAGTGGAGTGTGGTGGCGGGGAGATACTGCAACCTCAACCGTTGATGAGACCGGCGCTGCTGCCCTGCTGCCCGCGCTTCTGCTGCCCGCCTTGGCGCCCCCCTCGCTTGCTGCTCGCCTGCTGCCCTCCCCTTGTGCCGGCCTGGAGAAGGGAGGGCAGGGACGGGAGGGCAGGGACGGGAGGGCAGGGACGGGAGTGCAGGGAGGGCACTGTGAAAAGGAATGACGAGAGAGCAACGAGTGCAGAAATTGCAAGAATGATGCGAGCATGAACAGACACTCAAGCATCTGTGGCAAGGAGGGGAAAAGAGGCTCACCTTGTTTCAGACAACCCAGCCCGATACTCTCCCTTCCCACCCCAGCCGAGTGGAGTGCTGCCCCCCTCCCTTCCCACCACTGCCACCTGCACGGCCACAGGGGAGGAGCGCGAGGGAGCAGCGGTGTTGACCCCCACGCCCCTCCCCTCAACGGAAAGGAGAGAACTGAAGAGAAGAGAGTATGCGGCTAGGGGTAGAAATGTGAGAGGAGTTCATGGGTGGGGGTGGGGTGGGATGGCGGGTGAGAGCAGAGAAGGGGGCCACTGGTGCAGCCTCAGCTACAAGCCACAGATCCAAGGGGGGTACACACCTGGGAGGCTTACCTGCAGACCTGAGAGTATACCTGTAATACCCGGGGGGATTTACCCAAGAAAAGGGGTCTGTGGCTTGATGCTTTGGCTCAACAAGAGGCTTGCATTTGAAGAGACAAGAAAACAGGAGATGCAGCAAGGATGAACGTGGAAAGCAAACGAACACAAGAGAGATTGGGAGGAGAAAGTGAGGGCGGATACTTAGCTGTGGGTGGGTTGGGTGGAGAGCAGCTGCTGTTGCACTCCATGTCCCCCGCCACTGCCACTCCCGTATGAGCGACCTGCTGGGACGATGGGAATTGGAGCAGAGAGAGGAAGGGAGGGAAGAGAGGACGGGGATGTGAAGGGCAATGAGAAAAGAGGGAACACAGGGCAGGGAGCATCAAGCGAAGTGAGCATGGGCAGAAAACCAAGCAGCAGCGTGAGTGAAGGAAGAAGAGATATTCAAGCAACTGTGGCAGGGAGGGGAAAAGAGGCTCACCTTGTTTCAGACAACCCAGCCCGATACTCTCCCTTCCCACCCCAGCCGAGTGGAGTGCTCCCCCCCTCCCCGCCCACCACTGCCACCTGCACGGCCACAAGGGAGGAGCGCGTGGGAGCGGCGGTGTTGACCCCCACGCCCCTCCCCTCAACGGAAAGGAGAGAACTGAAGAGAAGTGAGTATGCGGCTAGGGGTAGAAATGTGAGAGGAGTGCATGGGTGGGGTGGGGTGGGATGGCAGGTGAGAGCAGAGAAGGGGGCCACTGGTGCAGCCTCAGCTACAAGCCACAGATCCAAGGGGGGTACACACCTGGGAGGCTTACCTGCAGACCTGAGAGTATACCTGTAATACCTGGGGGGATTTACCCAAGAAAAGGGGTCTGTGGCTGGCTTCAAGCTTTGGCTCAACCAGCGGCTTGCATTTGAATGCACAAGCGACAGAGATGCAGCAAGGCTTGAAGTGGAACGAAAATGAACGCAAGAGGCAGGGCGGGTACTTAGCTGTGGATGGGTCGGGTGGAGAGCAGGTGCTGCCTGTGCACTCCATGCCCCCCGCCACTGCCACTCCCGTGTGAGCGACCTGCTGGGACGAGGTGGGGCAGATGGGGACAGAGAGAGGAAGCGAGTGAAGAAAGTGAGGGTGATGAGTAAAGAGGCGAAGGCAAGTGAGTGAGAGCGAACAAGTGCGAGAGTGAAGCGTGGATGGATGGACTACTGCAGTGGCACACTCAAGAGACCTCTTACCATCTGAACCAAACTCAAATGAATACCTGAGGCTGTACCAAAAGAAAATATACCTGCTACCTTGGGGGAGGGAGGTCTCATGGGTGCGACAGAGGCAGTGAAAAAGGGAGCGTGATGCATGGTGCAAGCATGACTTGAAAAGCAACACAGTGCGAGGGCTGGGAGAAGAGAGGAAGGGCGGGCTACTTAGCTGTGGTTGGGTTGGGTGGAGAGCAGCTGCTGCCTGTGCACTCCATGTCCCCCGCCACTGCCACTCCCGTGTGAGTGACCTGCTGGGACGAGAAGGGGCAGATCGGGGCAGAGAGAGGAAAGGGAGGAGGGAGATTGAGGCGGGGCAGGCAGGGAGATGGACGCAGAGAAGCAGCTAGGTTGAGAGGAGACAAGCGGCACATGGAAGGAAGGAAGGAAGGGAGGAGGGCGAGGAAAGCAGCATGGCGAGGAAAGCAGGTGGACAAGGGGAGCAGAGGACGACTGGAGCAGTGGAGAACGACAGAGAAAACGCGGTGCAAGCGAGAGGAGGAGGGAAGCGAGGGGAGTACCTTGCGTGGTCATGAGTGGAGTGGAGGGCGGCCATCCAACAGCGCGTGACAGAGCATGATCACGCCCGCTCGTTCACGGTTGAGAATGGTCCACGCCTTGGCCTTGGTGCGTCTGCCAAGTCAGGCGACACAGGGAGTTAGAATTGCTGGGAAAACGAAAATCGCGGGTAGAAAATACATAGAGATAACGAAGAAGAAGCGAGCTCCAAAGCTTCCTTACTTGGTGACGAGGAAGAAGCGAGCTCCGAACGTAACGGATGGTGTTCGCGACGGTTGACGTCGAATTGACGACTTGAAATGGTTCTGCGTTCGCCTGCACGTCGCGAGAGACACAATGATTAGCTTCTTTATCGAAAATCGCGAAGCTGACGAATCACCGAATGAACTATCCGACCCAGAGCTATTTCTTACCGGAATTGCGAAGTTCGACGCGGAACAGCAGAGGTTGGCGACGACCAGGGAAAATCGACGTCGAAACCGAAATTTTTACGTGAATCCCGAGAAATGGAAGTCGGAAATCGACATTTCCACGTGAAACTTGAAAATCGACGCTGGGCGGTAGAGGATGACGTCGAATAGCAAAGACTGGTTATTACGAGCAGAATCTGGCCCAATTTCGCACCAAGAATGCCGTGCATAATCCACAGAACGCTCTGGATTGAGAAAAGTACGACGTCGTTTTGACACGGAAGATTGCGAAGCCAGAAGCTAGAGTGAAAAATGGCAACAAAATGCGAAGCAGGCGGACTAGTGTGAGGCAAAACGAGGCTGCTGCACGAAAGCGTCGAGGTCCTCCCACAAACCAACCCCAAGGCTACACTCTACCACCTCAGGAAAGTGTGCAAAAAATCGCAACCGTTCATCAAAACGAAGTTGAACCGCGAAACAACGCAACGGTTAAACGGAAATCCTATGGATTGGTCGAGGATTGTCGTGTCAGGGATAGTCGAACCCCAACCGTGAAATCGGAGGTCAAAAGGTTCACCATTGGTGGGTTTCCGTGACGGCGGGTTGTCGAATTAGAACATCATCACGAACCGCTGTCGGCTCGGCGGGACGGAGGGCAGAATCGCGCGATTAATTGGCCAACGAATGGGTTTCAGGCAACAAGGGCGGCGGCAGCCATGGAAAGGGAGGAAAAGCGGGAGGAAGATCTGATGGGAGCAGATCGGAATTGGAGTCTCCCTCACACCCTCTGACACCTGCAACGGCTACCAGAGCCTCGTCCCGCTAATTGGCTCTGCGTTTCGCACACCGACAACGATGTGAGCTGTAACTGCTTGTGTGTTTCGCGAATGCCACCGCGAAGATCTGAAATGTTTAGGACGCAAAACTTTGTTTACATAGATGTCATACTCAGTACCGGGTGGGAACTTGGAATGGGCTAAAATGAAGAAGACACTTGGGAAATTCAAGCAGTACCGAATTGGAATAATATGGAATGGCGCGGAATGCTGTGAGCAACTCGAATATTGTTGAATCGAAATTCATAGTACTCGGTTCTTGGTAGAGTGTGGAAGTCTAGGGATGGGAATTCAGAGAGTCGAATGCCGTTTGACATTTAGTACCTGGTGGGAGAAACTGGCGGAGAGTAGTTTGAGGAAAGCTAGCGGACTTTTTTACACCGTCATTTGCGTAAGTGTCCGAGGGATAGCCGGTAGTGTACGATCGTTCTGGTTCACCCCACTGAACCTTTGGGTTTTGCGCTAAATTTCTGAGTGGTGTCGGAGGTTGTATAACACGTGGCCTGCATCAACAGGCACAGAAAACTCTTGGCAGGTGCTTGAGAAGACCCGTACACCACTCGTTGCAGAACCGCTAGTGAGTAACTAAAACTTGCTACACCGCATTTACTATCATAACTATTATATCTGCACATACCGTCACCCGTGCGGTTTGAGCAGAGGCTGCAGCCCAGCCCTATTTCGGGTTCTTCCTTCCCCCCCACCCCACCACCACCATCCCTCCCCCTAACAATCGCCACCAGCTCCCTAGGCTCATTCCCTCGTAACCCTAACCCTGGCTTCCCTTCCTCCCTACAAACCACAGGTTCCACGTCGTGTTTGTCAGTCTTGTTTCGGATTTTTGTGGCTGGAGTGTCTGTGACCGAGTATCTGGAGTGGTTTGAACAATTGGTTTACGTGTGACCGTTTCAACAACCTCCGATTCTTGTTAAACGGATCGATCTCATGGCCACGGACACGTGGCGTGATAGCGGTAGCCGCGACCGCTATCGCGATTCGCACGACGACTACCGTCGCGACTCGCACTCGCACCACGGGGACGGTCGTCGCGACAACCACTGGACGGCGAGCCGCGACGACGACTGGGAGGAGCTTGAGGATAAGAACGACCCGGAGCTGCAGGGGCTAGAGTACTCGGAGTTTCGGTGCAAGAAGCGCGAGAAGATGCGCCGCCTGCACCGCCGCCTGCTCTGGCGCATCACGCCCAGCCCGCCCCGGGATCGCCCGCCGATTCCTGCGCCGCCGGCGGAAGCGAACGGGCATGCGAAGGGCGGCAGCAGGAGCGGATCGGAGGACGATGATAGGGAAAGGAGTGATGGTGAACGGAGGGGTGCGGATGCGGGGAAGGAGAGGGAGCAGGGTGGATTGATTAACGGGGATGTGGATGCGGTTGCGGAACGAGAGAAGAAGGATGAAGGGGGGGATGCAAAGGGCGGCGGCGGGGAGAGTGAGGAGGACAAGGGTGGTAAGCAGGGGGCGAGCGGCGGAGACAAAGAAGCGTTGGAGAACGGCGGAGAGGGTGGTTCGTCGGACGATGAACGCCTCGCGAAAAAGAGGAAGGAAAAGCAGGATGGAGGCGCTGTGAAAGGAAAGAGCAAGGCGCGGAAGCGGTCGGAGGATAGTGATAGCAGTGAGGGGGAAAGCGATGAGGAGAGTGACGAAGAGAGTAGTGATTCGGAAGTGGACAGGCGGAAGAAAAAAGGGAAGGGGAAGAAGCGGAAAAGTAGCAGCAAGAAGTCAAAGCGAGGGAAGAAACTGAGTAAGAAGGGGAGCAAGAAGAAGCGGAAAGGGCGGAGCAGCAGCAAGGGCAGCAGGCGACGACGTCGCAGCCGTCATGATTCGTCGTCGGACGAATCCGAATCGGAATCCGAGGACGAAGAAAGCGAGAGCGGCTCGAGCGAGGACGAGTCGTCCAGCGACGCGGGCGACGAGAGCGACGGAGGGGCGAAGAAGCGCGCGAGGAAAGCGGGCAAAGCGGGGAGGAAGAGCGGAAGCGAGAAAGGCGAGGAGGACGAGGAGGAGGACGAGGAAGGTGGAGGTGGCGAGGACGAAGAGGAGATGGACCCTGAAGTGCTCATGTTCAAGCAGTATGTTGAAGAGCAGAAACGCGCGCAGCTCGCCGCTATGGAAGCCGAGCCGTTTGTCGGTCCCGCGCCCGCGGCCAAGGCGGAGGGGCACATCAGCTACGGAGGGGCGCTGCGTCCCGGAGAAGGAGACGCCATTGCGCAGTACGTGCAGCAAGGGAAGCGTATTCCACGTCGTGGTGAGGTGGGTTTGTCGGCGGACGAGATTTCCAAGTTTGAAGATCTCGGGTATGTGATGAGTGGAAGCAGGCACCAGAGGATGAATGCTATCCGTATCCGAAAGGAAAACCAGGTGTACAGTGCGGAGGACAAGAGGGCGCTGGCGATGTTTAACTATGAGGAGAAGGCGAAGAGGGAGCACAAGGTTATGTCAGACCTGCAGCGGCTGGTGCAGAGGCACATGGCGGCGCAGGATGGGCCCAAAGAGGGAGATGGTGCTGCTGCTGCTGCTGGTGGGGAGGATGAGGATGCGGAGTGAGTTGGGAGGTGTGTTTTTGGGCTGTTCGGATGTCGTGGGAGGGAGGGATCTATGCAGTAAAGATTGTAAGGGTCTAGGCTTGGATATATGTGCTGATGGAAGGGTCTGTTGGGGGGGGGGGGGGGGGGGGGGGATGGTGAGTTTCTTTCTAGATTTGCGTTTCATGCATGATTTGGCCCTGTGTGCCTGTGCCGTTGAAGATGTACCGATCATCAATGCTGCAATAAACTACTGATCAATCTCCACATCAATCCGTTTGCCCTTCTTCATTCGATGAGAGTGATCCACACTGAAACTTTGTTTATCACTGAACTTTTTAAGGTTGCATGGAGTTCTTAGAAAGCGATCCTGCAGCATCATTGTGGTGTGTGCGATGGCCATGTCAAATGTAGTGCAAGTATTGCGAACGACAAATGTGGAGAAATGGACTTGTAAGTGCTCCGAGAATGTTGATGGAAGAAGTATATGAAAACCATAACTGTATTTAGTGTTCAGATTCCTTCCATAATATCAAATAAAAGAAGTGCATTCTATGTGCAACATGTTAAATCCGAAAGGTCAAGCAGGACAAGGCTGTTGTTCGGACATCGCTGGCTGCGAAGGCTGTCTGACTATCATTGGGCCATTCTCGTACACGGAAAGGTATTCTGTATGTCAGCACGGAAAGGTTGGTGATGCGGTGGCCGGCTGTAGGAAGAGATGATCTTTGTTGGCCACCCATGCAGGAAAAGCTCTCTGGTCATACGTGTCTGTGCCCCACATGGGTCATGCTCCAGATACCTGAAAATCAACAGCGAATCAATGTTGGGATAGCCACGTCATGGACCTATCCAGGCATCGAATCTGCATCATCAAGCGCTCCACGCAGACAGTATCCAACAAAAGCCATCCCTGATTCACTGGGGAGGATGCACATGCGAAGCGCATGAGAAAAAAACGAAGCTGGATGCTGGAAGCCGTTTGGCGAAGGTCGGTTGCCTGCGTACAACTCGCTTGTGTACGCAGGGAGCAGCTTGGATGGCCCTCCCTTTGACCAGCTCGACTGACCCGAGGGTTGATGATTGGCGATCTTGAGGAAATTAGTAGACTTACGTGGCAAGAGATCCCATTCTCTTATGCGCGCTCAGCATGGGGTACAGTCAGCGCTGAGTGTGCCTCCACATCACAGCGTTCAGTACCCTGTCTTTCTCCCGGACCTCCGAGGCTGGTTCAGCGCTAATGGGGTCATGTTCCGTGCCAAAAGGCCAGGTCAGGAAAGCAGGATGAAACGAGCCGATGAGGTTGTGTGCCGCGCTGCGGAATCATGAATGTTTTGTGGTCGGCAGCATGGCAGCTGTGGTGATCATGAATTCATGCTCCATTCAAGCGCAACACGTACACCCCCAACCCAAACCAACCCAACACGCCAGAGGATGGAGGGGAGGAGTGAGAGGGGAGACAGAAAGACAAGCCATATACTTTTCATATCCCTCGGGAATCTCCACGCTCTTCCTCTTCGATGCTTGCCTGCCTTGCCTCCCTGCAGCTGCCAGAAAGCAAGTCTGCTTGCATGGGTCAGCCAGCCTCCACAGAACTTTCTAGTGGGCTGCCTGACGTGCCTTCTCGGGCTTGGATCACGCCTAGCCACGCCCCAGTCAGACCAGACTGCTCGCTGTGCCTCCTCGGGATTGGTCGAGGCAAAGGTGCGTCAAGCACACGGCAGCCCTGCGCGGACCACCAAGCCGAGGCGCGCTTTAACCACCACCAGTTCGACCATGGGACAGGCTCAGGCGGAGGGAGCGAAGTGGTGGTCCTGCTCGGCGGGTAATGCTGCTGCTGTTCCCGTCGTCCCTTTACGCACTGCAGAAGCTGCAGAAGCTGAAGCTGTATTTTGTGATCGTCTACTGGCCAAGGGTGCCTATCGCTGCTGCGTTGGAGAGCTAAGAGTACTGGCGGTGCCTGCAATTCACGGATTTTCACGACAAGACGCGTCGTCGCTGCGAGGAGATTACATAAAAAGTGGACCGCGTTTTCAGAGGCAGGCTTCCAAATGCATGGTAGCCTCCTCCGTCTCAAATTTCCCTACCTGAGTTAGGCTACAGCTCGTAGAATTGCCTGACATCGTTCAGCGTTCCGCGCGCCGGTCGGCGTCGGTACGCAATCGACAGATTCCACGACTTTGACGAGCCAGCAACAGGTGACTAAGACGTAAGGCCTGCCTTGAATTGAATTTTTTGGCAGAGCCTTCGGTAGTAACTGTTCTGAGGCGCCGCTGATAAGGTCGAAGCCAGGATCCGGGGCAGGAAATTCATCCAGCTATACGATCCCAGAAGCCAATCCTCGCAAGCAGCTGCTATCCTGGTGGCTGTTATGATCGTGAACGGCTCGCTCGTCGCGTCTAGATGCTCGCCGTCTTGGATTCCTAAGCTCATACTTCTCGCTTCCAGAAAGTTTTCTTCGCTGCCAAGCGCTTTTCAACTGGAGCGCGTTCCATAAACCAGCAGCGCGGGTTGCGGGAGATGGAGGGAGGAAGAGGAGGCGGCGAGACCGGTGCCGTGGAGACGGAAGAGGTCATGAAACGAATGTCAGTAGAGGCGTTGGCGCTGAGACAGCACGAGGCCGACGAGCGCACGTCTGGCGCTGGTTCCTGCGTACCGATTTTGCCCACTGCTGAAGCCGACGCGAAGGCGTCATGCTTGAAACGCGAAGTGCAACGAAAACACCTCCAGCAGCAGCCGCAGCAGCAGCAGCAACAGCAGCCGCGATTACCCAATTCTGGAGAGCCAGTTGTTTCAGAAGCTAAGGTTACTCTCGTAACTCTTTCTCCAGGCGAGAAAAGGGAAGGCGGAAAAGGGCCTATCCGTAACGGCGTATCATCTATTGCTGACAACGCAGCTGCTGTTACGGCGCCCTCTGTTCTTCCTCACAGGCTCGTACGGGCAGCGGTCGTCGTCAGTCTAAGCAGCTCCGCTTGTAGTGGCGACAGTGGCGGCGAGGCAAGCAGTGGAGAGATTGAGTCCGTTGCCATGGGCGACAAGGGTGGCGCAGCAGCGTGCGAGGGTGTGCCTCCTGTAGCAGTAGCCCAAGACGAGGCTTCTCAACAGGCGACTGCTGCTCACTCGAGTTCTAGGGCTGCTGCCGTGCCTGCTGCTGCTGCTGCTGCTGCTGCTGCTGACACAGTTTCGAAGGCTGCTGCTGATGTGGCTGCTGCTGACATCGGAGCGATGGTAATCGACAGCATGGGTTCTGGTTCGGTGAGTGCAAGGCGCCTTCACGAGCAGAATGATGCAGGGGTTGAAGGACAAGCGGTTCTTCCTGCAGCACAACGCAAGGAGCCGAGGGAAAAAGCCCAAGCGAGTGCAGTGCGATGTGAGAGCGCCCAGCAAGCAAGTGAAGCCGTGGCAGAAGGTGCTGGAGAGCAGCAGCGCAAACCTCGAATTCTCTCAACCGGTGACCTCCCTGCAGCGGTAGAAGCTGCAGCAGTGGCAGAATTGGGGGCAGCGCGGTGCAGGGTACTACAACGTGGCGATGCTGTTGCTGCTGATGGCGCTGCTGGTGCTGCTGGTGCTGTTGGTGTCGGTGGCACTGATGGTGTTGCGGATATGCAAGCAGACGACTCCGGCTGTGCTGCAGCTGTGGCGAAGCCGCCGCAAGAAGGCTTGATGCGTACTGTGGCGCCGGGTGTTGATGACACCGTGACGCCAGATCGAGTGGCCCGCACAACTCCTCAAGGTGCTTCCGCTGCAGACGTCACCGCTGATACTGCCGCTGCTGCTGCAGCTGCAGATGTTGCTAATGGCGTGACCGGCAGTGCGTCGTTCGCCTGTCCTCCTGCCGCTATTAATCCCACACCAACGAGTCCCACTGCTGCGATGCCTGCCGGCACCAACCCTGCCACCATCCCTTCCACCAAGCCTGCTGCAAGTGCCGCCAACAGTGCCAATGACCTCAACACCACCAGTGTCGCCACCAACATTGCGGGTCCTGCCAACACCAGTGGTACCGCCGCCAACACCACTAGCAGTCCCACAGCAGGCTCCCAACTGCTGCCATTTAACACGGAGCGAGTGGAGAGCGTGTACGCACTAGCCAGCGAGGAGCTCGGCCGGGGCGAGTTCGGCGTGGTGCGCACCTGCATGCACCGCACCACGGGGCAGCTCTTCGCGTGCAAGTCCCTGGACAAAGCCCGGCTGAGGGAGAGCGCACGCGTAGAGGACCTAGAGATGGAGCTGTACTGCATGGGCATCATGCCGCGCCATGGGAATGTCGTGCAGCTGGCGAGCGTGCATGAGGACGAGCGCGCCGTGCATCTTGTCATGGAGCTGTGTGATGGGGGGGATTTGTTTGAGCTGATTGCCAAGGCGGGGCGGCTGCCGGAGGTGTTTGCGGCGTGGATGTTCCGCCAGGCTGTCGAGGCTGTGGCGTTTTGCCATGAGTATAACATCGCGCACCTGGATATCAAGCCGGAGAATCTGCTGATTCGGACCAAGAGGAACCTGCCTGGGGGGGCGTCGGCGGCGGCGTCGGTGGCTCTTGCGGCTATAGGTGTGGCTCAACAGCAGCAGCGGCAGCAACAGCAGCAGGAGATGCCAAGTCTGGCCCCTCACAGCTCCACACAGTCAGCAGCGGTGGCAGCCGTCGCACCGGCAGCAGCAGCTGCTGCAGTGCCTCCCACAGTTCCCGTCAACCATCCCTCCACTCCCTCCACGCCTGCCACTCCCTTGGCGACTGGTATCGCGACTGGTATCGCCGCCACCCTCACTGCCACTGCTGCTGTCACAGTCCCTGCTGGCACTGACAGCGGGGCTCCAGCCCATGGGGGTAGTGCTTCTGCACCTGCTACCGAAGCTCCTGCCACTGGTCTAGCTGCTCCTCCTCCTGCTGTTGCTGATGATGTTACAACGATTTCTCCATTAAGCGACCAAGGCCTGCAAGCCTCATCTGGTCCCGTGCATGCTGCTGCTGCTGCTGCTGCTGCTGCTGCTGCTGCTGCTGCTGCTCCTCCTCCTCCTCCTCCTCCTCCTCCTCCTGCTGCGGCTGCTGCTAATGGTGGCGCGGCCGCCACTGAGTCTGCAACGCATGCCGCTGCCAACAACAGCAAAAGCAAGCACGTGCCACCGCTCCTCACCCCGGCTTCCACTACTGCGCTTCAACGCATGGGTGCTGCAGGCACAGACGCTGCTGCAGCCGCACGCACCTCCTCTGCTGCTGGCACCACGTCTGGCATGGAGGGCATTCGTGTGAGCAGCACTGCCACCATTGGCTCTGGCTTCGGTAGTGGCGCTGGTGGAGTATCCACGGGCTTGGGAAGCAGCATCAGCAGGGGTGGTAGCACAGCTGCCGCTGCCGCCACTGCCACCGCCGCCACTGCCGCCGCCGCCGCCGCCGCTGCTGCTGCTGCTGTTGCTGTTCCTGGTAGCAGTGGAGGAGGAGGAGGGGGGTGCGGAGGGGCAGTGCCTGCGTGTCTGGCAGGAATAGAGGTGAAGCTGGCGGATTTCGGGCAGGCGGTGGTGCTCTCTCCTGGGAGCACGGCGCGTGGGCTGGCAGGGTCGTCGTTCTACATGGCGCCAGAGGTCGTCAAGGGCCGCCAGTACGGGCTCTCTGCTGACGTGTGGAGCCTTGGCGTGCTGCTCTATGTCATGCTTGCAGGTGCGATGGGGCGTTCTTGGTGCTCTTGGTGAGGTAAAGCATGGTGGTGGTGCTTGTGCTGGTGCGGCTATTGGGGGATTGGTGAGGTGGGGTCTGGGGTTCGGTGGGTTTGTCACCAATCCTTTAAATGTTTGTTTCCACCATCACAACATGTTAAGGCCGAAGCATTCTCAGCCCTTATCCTCCATCACCATCCCTTTCTCCTGTGATTCCCCTTCCTCCGCATATGCACCCCCCAACCCCCACCCGTCCACCCACACCAGGCTACCTGCCATTCTACGGGGAATCCCTCCGCCACATCTTCCTTACCATCTGCTCATCAGACCCCGACTTCTCCTCGCCGCCCTGGCCCTCGCTCTCCCTCGCCTGCAAGCACCTGCTGCGCTCCATGCTCCACCGCGACCCCCTGCGCCGCCCCTCTGCCCGCCAGCTCCTCTCCCACCCCTGGTTCTCCTGCGCCCTCCTTCCCCTCTCGCCCCCCTCCCTGCCTCGCTGCCTCTCCCCGTTCTCCTCGCCGTCTTCCTATTCCCGCCTCCCCCCTCACTCCTCTCGTTCCTCTCGGCCCTCGCTTGCCCCGCTCTCGTCCCTCTCGCCGCTCTCGCACTATCCACTGTCCACTAGTCTGCTGCCTACCAATCCACTCACCAGCAAGCACTTGAATGGACAGCCGTCCTCGTCACCGCTGCTCATGTCCCTTTTTTCGGGGGTAACTCCCCCGTCTCCTTCCTCCTGCCTCTCGCCCTTCGCTTCCTCCCCCTTGACGTCCCCGTTTTCCTCCTCCCACTTCCCTTCACCACCATTCTCCTCCTCCTCATCCTCCTCCCATTATTCCTCCCGTCTGTCCTCCTCCTTCCCTCTCCTTTTCCCACCTCTCCAACCCACAGCTCCTTCTGCCTCCCCTTCCGCATACCCTCCCTCCTCCCCCGCACCCCCATCCATGTCCCACGCTTTCCTCCCTAACTCTAGCGCCCCTCTCGCGCCCTTCCAGTCATCACGCTTCCACCCCAGCTTCCCGCTTTCCACGGGGGCAGCGGCTGCAGCTGCAGCGGCCACTGCTGCTGCGGCTGTGGCGGCTGGGTCGTCACATGCGCCCTTGCGTGGTGTGGACGTGCGCTTGGATCCGCTTCTCCCTATTCCTCGCCTTGCTGCTCACCCACCATTGTTCGATCCTTCTCCTGCTCCTGCCCCTACTTCTCCTGCTCCTGCTCCTGCTCCTGCTGCTGCTGCTGCTGCTGCTGCTGCTGCTGCTGCTGCTGCTGCAGTGGCTGCTGGTGCTACAGAAGCTGCTACCACTGCTCCCCCACCTGCTGTGCATGCTCCTTGTACGGTTCCCACCACCGCTGGTGTTGCGGCTGCTCCAGTAGCAACTGCTCCATCCGGACCATCGGCCGCCGCGGCAGCACCTGAAGGAACCAATCCTGCAACAACTGCTGCCACTGGTACTACCTGTGCCATTGCTGCTGCCAGTGCTGCTGGGCAGGTGGATGTTGCTGGTAAGACGGATCAGATAGGCCCCTCTTCTTCTCCTCCTCCTCCTCCTCCTCCTCCTCCTCCTCCTCCTCCTCCTCCTGCTGCTGCTGCTGCTGCTGCTGCTGCTGCTGCTGCTGCTGCTGCTGCTGCTTCTGCGCCAGCTCCCAGTGACCCTGAGGCACGCCTTTTCTCCTCAGTGCTCCTTGAAACTGCGCAGCAGCTTCCTGCGCTGGTGAACAGGGAGGATGGGACGTGGCAGGGGGAGTTGAAGGAGGGGAAGGAGGCGAATGAGGGGAAGTGGGACGACGCATACGGTCTGCTCAATGCTGCTGGCATGGCTGATGCAGAGGCTTTCGTGGATGGGTGTGGGATGAAGTATAGCATGAGTGGGTATCTGGATGCGGTTCTTGATGCAGCTGGTGATGGAACCACTGGGGAGGGAGAGTCAAATGGAGGGGGGAGTGCTGGAGGGAAAGATGGTGGGGTGGCTTGCGTGGGTGCAGCAGGCGGGGGAGGTTGCGTTGGTGGTGCTACTGCTGGGATTGATGGTGCTAGTGGCCCACCGTGTGCCGCTTCAGAGTGGACTGGCATGGGAGGATTGGATGTGCTGGATGGGCATCACCAGCAGGAAGAGAGGCAGAAGCATCAGTATTACCAGCAGCAGGGGCAGCAGCAGCAGCAGCAACAGATGCAGAAGCAGAGGGAGAGTGGTGACGGTGGTGATGAGCTGTTGACTGGCCATGCCATGAGTGCACACATTCATGACCCCACATGTCAAGCCATTCGAGGTACTGCCATGGCATATTCCAGCAACGCTCCTACCGCTGCTGGCAGCCACGGGGCGGGTCTCGCCAGTGGGTCCGGTGCTGCTTCCCCTCCTGTCGATCCCCCCAGTGCACCTGGCGTGTGCGTCGCAGATCATACTCCTGCTGCTACTCGTGCCGCTGCACTTGAGGCGACGACTGGCTGTGTTGGAGCTCCTGCTGCTGCAGGTTGCGCTGCCATGGATGTATGTGTGGCGGGAGCTGGGGCTGGCTTGGTGAGCCCGAAGAGAAAGGCGGAGGCGGAGGCAGAGGGGGAGGGAGATGATGACGAGGGAGAGGAGTCACAGGAGGAACAGGAGGATGGGAGGGAGGCAGCAGCAGGAGCTGGAGAGTGGGCTGGTTTGGGCATGTTCTCTGCTCCAGCTGAAGGTACAGCGCGGCCTGCTTGGATTGACAGCAGGCAGTGTAGCGTCAGTGTGGGAACGACTAGTGTTGCACCTGCCCGTGCCGGCAATAGTGGTGGCGGCAGTGGCAGCGCTGGCAGCGATGCCGCTGCTGCTGGTTACAGTGTTGCCGCTCCCTCATACGGTACTGCCAGTGGGAGCACTGCAACAGCAGCAGAAACTGTAGCAGCAGCCGCAGCAGGAGCAGCAGCAGCAGCAGAGGAGGACCTGGAGATTTCTCTTGAGATGGCACAAGCACTCGGCCATGCATTGGATGAAGAAGCAGAGCAGCAGCACAGCCCTGACCTGGAATGCACTCTCTCGCAAGACCTCTCACACGCGCTGGAGCAGGACGAGCTCACACACGCACTCACACAGGAGCTAGCCCATGCGCTCGAGCAGGGGGCTGATGATGATGCATGGGTGGAGGGTCAAGGGTGGGAGGGTGCACAGGCGGAGGGTAATGTGGATGGGTCAATTGGGGACTTGGCTGATTTTGGAGAAGGGATGGAGCTGGAAGATGTGGATACTGCTGAAGCTGTTGGTGCGGTTGCTGCTGCTGAAGGTGAAGCTGCGGAAGTTGGCACCTCCGCACTGGGCCGCAGGGGTGGGAAACGGCTGGGGACTGGCAGGGCAGCAGGGGGCAGGGTGGGAGGAGAGAAGTGTGGGCCAGCAGCAGAAGCAGTTGGAGCAGCGGCTGCAAATCAAGCAGTTGGAGGAATTGCTGGGATTCAAAGGCAGGTGGGGCGGAGGGGGGAGTCAGGAGGAGCCACAGGAGGAGCGTGTGAGGTGGCGGTGGTGTCTCAGCCTCTGCTGCCCCACCATGCTGTGGCATGTCACAATGAGTGTTCCCCTGTTCCCGTGGTGGTTGCTGGGGAAGGCGAAAGGCCTGGCACATGGGGAAGGCGGAGAGTAAGAGCAGGCTCTCGTGCTGCCAATCCTGCTGCTGGCACTGGAGCCGGTGTTGCGACTGCTGGTGAGAGGAGCAGCAGCAGCAGCAACTGTGGCAGCGAGAGTGGCAATCTGCACACACACGAGCAGCGCCTGCAGTGGCCACGCCAGCAGCAGCAGCAGCAGCGGCAGCAGAAGACGAATCAGCAGCAGAACCAGCACGAGAGGAGGCGGCGCAGGAGGAAGTACAGCCCTGGCGAGCTCGCCCCTGTCTCAGCAGCTGCCACTCCTCTTATCAATCCCAGCAGCCCACCCCTTTCATGGAACCATAACCACAAGCCACCACCCGCCCATCTCACCTCCTCGTTCCAACCACCTACCTACCCATCTCCTCATGCACCCGCACCTGCACCTACCAGTGCGGCTCTTGATTCCCCTTCTGGTATCGCAGCTACCTCAGCCCGCCACTCTCTCGACAGTGGCCTTCTGGACGTACCTGTGATGGAGTGCGATGAGCCGCGCTCCTGGCCGCACCTCTGCCACCTGCCGTCTCTGCAAGTGCACCATGGCTGTCACACCCCACCAAACCAGCTGACCCTGCAGCGCCAGCTGCCACGGTTGGAGCAGCTGCAGCAGCAGCAAGAGGGTGTACCTGTTCTAGTCTCTCCACGTGGCCCTGCTCCTTCTGCTTCTCCTGTTCCTGCACCTTCTCCTGCCCCTGTGCCATTCCGATTGGGAGTGAGGGTGAGTGCCAGTGTGAAGTGCCGAGCACCAGGCAGCACAGTGAAGCACACAGCAGCAGGCGTGGTTCATCTGCTCTCACTGCCCTCCCCTTCCGCCCTCACTGCTTCCTCCGGAAGGGCAGGTATGGCAGCAGCAGCAGCAGCAACAGCAGCAGCAGCAGCGGCTGTAGCCAGGGCAGGGGGGTCCGGGTCGACAGCAGCAGGACCTTCGTTTAATACTGCTACTCCTCATGCTCCTCGTACTGCTGTTCTGCCGCGCACCTGTGCTGCTGCGGTTGCTTCTGCTGCTGCTTCTTCCGCTGCTGCTGCTGTTGGAAGAGTGTCTCCCCTTTATGCGCGCCGCCCTCCCATGCTGGTGATCCCACACTCCAACTCAGAGTGTTGCCAGGAGGATGCAGCGCAGGGGGGTCAAGGGGTGAACACATGGGGGCAGCAAGGGGGCAGCGGGGAAGCAGCAGGCTTGCAGGGAGTGGGAACAGGAGGTGGGACAGGAAGCGGAATGGGAGGAGCTGTTGGGTTCCCAGGTGGGGTTGTGCGCAGGTCGCTCAATCACCACTACATGGATGGTTCCCCGCCAGTGCTTCTTCCTCACAACCCAGGAGAGGTCCTTCCGTGTCCTTCCATCTCCCCCTCCCCTTCATGCTCCCCCGGTTCCCTGTCGCTCCCCTTCCCACGGCCTCTTACTGCTTCCCCTGCCGGCCCCTCCGCGTCTGCTGCTGCTGGCGCTACCCCAATGTCAACTTACATGGCAGCTGGAACAGCAGGGGGGAGTGATGGGTGGAAAGAGGCGAGGAGGGGGGAATTGGGGGAGAAGTGGATGGAAGAGGAAGGGGGGAGAGAGGGAGGAGTGCAGGGGGGAGAGTTGGGAGACCTTAGTGCAGTAGAGGATGCGAGCATGGGTGAGTTGGGTTATGAGCGCTTGGGGGAACTGATGGGTGGTCGGGATGATGTTGCTGGGCTGAGCATGGGCATGTGTGTGGGCGTGGGCATGGGAGGGCAGTTCAGTATGGTTTCAGGGATGGCACCTGCTGAGAGGATGAACGGTGTGTTTGCAACGAGGGTTGATCCTCGCATGGTGGGGGTGGGGGTGGGGGCAGTGGGGGTGGGAGATGGAGGAGGGAGTGGAGGCGAGAGTACAGAGGGGAGTGGTGGCAGCATGGAGTGTGTGGATGGTATGGGAATGGCGACAGACGTGGACATGGATATGAGCATGATGGAGATGATTGGTGTGGCCGAGGGGTGAGAGCGACAGAGGGTGAGAGAGAGATAGAGTGAGTGAGAGCGAGTACCGTATCTGGTGTGGTGCAAACGGATGGCGACGGGGTGAATGGTTGGCCGAATGAGTGGGGGGCCAAGGAGCTTGGGGTGGGTGGAGGCGGAAGTGGTGTGTGTGCGCCTCTGTTTTTCCTGCTTTGTTGTGTCGGTGCAGGTGTACCGTGCTTTGCATGCAGGAGCTGCTGTGCAGAGTGTGAGCGGAGCCAGGGGAGGGATGCCTTTCCAGCTTGCCAGTCTTTAGTTTCCATTGGTATTGAAAGTCCGTGATGACTAATCGCTGGGGGGAGAGTGGGGGGAGGGGAGGGTGTGGGTGTAGGGGGCATGTTTTTGGTCCAGAAGTTGGGGCTTGCAACTTCTGAAGACCTGCTGTACAGTTAGGTCAGAGGGTGCTTGGCGTTTTCCTTGACTTCCTGTGGTACCTATTTCAAGTTAGGCAATCCTGGTTCTTGTAGGGTACATAACCACCGCACCTGTACTGTGCATGTATCCATATTAGTACTAGAGCGTTGTACATTTGCTGAGCTCCTTCATCAGTAACTAGTGAGTACCAACTAGTGGTGGTGGTGGTGGCATTGTAGGTCTCAAAGGAAATGCTGGTAACTAGTGAGTACCAACTGCAACCATGAATTCTTGATCAAGAGCTGTAGCAGCGCCTGCATTAGTGCCTCTCCACCAAGCAGTTCCAAGCCGAGGTCCTTATCACCGATGGCAGAGCATGCATTGCTCTCCTCGGAATTGCTGGGAACTACGGTAGCTTGTACATGGAGTTCTTCAACAAGTACACCTGTGACCATGCCCAATGTACGGTAGTGCCACTCTGCATTACTACCTGTCCATCAAGCGGTAAGCAGAAAGACCAAGCCAAGAGGTACAACTTTCCGAGACAGTCTCAATGAAGTAACGTTATAGGTAGCCCTGAAGCTAGTCCAAGCTAAAATAATACTCTTAATGTTGTACACAATCTAATCCGCCTGGCAGCACCCAAACCAAAGCCAAAACACCACACCGTTCACACCCTGCACCGCAGACACCATCACCTTCCAAGGCCACACGTTTTATGCCCAAGCCAATTCAGGCGGACCAGACCCAGACAAACGGAACCATGCCTGCACGCACACGACCAGCCCCTCGCACGCTTCGTTCGGGGCACCACCAATCACGCGGAGGGCGGCCCGATGATGGCAACCATGTACACGAAGAGCCCTACGATCACGCCGAATCCCGCGAACGTGAACCGTTGATCCGTCCACACGCGCAGCACGCGCTTCTCCGTCACCTTGAGCGGATCCACCTCCTCGGACAACGGGTAGTCCACGCGCTGCGGCTCCCGCGACACGTACTGCTCCATGTGCGCGAACAGCCCGCCCATGGGCGGGGGGGAGGGCGGGGAAGGCGCGGACGACGCCCGCCCGCCGCTGCTGCTGCTGGCGCTGCTGCTGTTGAGCGCGCCGGGCTGTTGCTGCTGCTGCCGCAGGCGCTGCGAGGGCGAGGGGCCGGCCTTCTTGTACGCCGCCCACGCGTTGTCCCAGTCGGATGGCGGCTTCCACGCGTCTGACGTGCGCGCGTGCGGGGAACGAGGGGACGTGCGGAGAATGGGGGATAGTGAGTATAGGGACGTGGGGTACGTGGGGGAAGCGGAGACGGGGAACCGAATTGGTTGGAGAATGGGCGAATCGAGTAGGGAATTAGACGGTTGGGTAAAATGCATTTCTGGCTCCACTCACCCTGTCCGCTGCCCTCGTTGCGGCCTTCATTTCCGCCGCCCTGCGCGCGCACCGCAATCCGGCGAGCAGGGAGCGACGGCATCGCGACGCAGCCACCCGCAGTCGACAGCGGCGAGGAGAGCGCTGCGAGCGAGCCGAGCGCGTTGAGCGACGCCGCGGAGGTTGCGGAGACCGACGCCATTGCGCGAAGCGACGCGGCTGGGTTGAGAGAGGCAGGGCAATGGGCTATTCTGATATTCTCCCAGAAGATAGAGAGTTACGAGGGGAGCTGGGGAGGCGGTAAAGCTTTGCCACGGGGAGATATGAAGGGATCTGACGGCCTCGCTGACAAAAGGAACCTGGGCAGGGAGGGAACGGGTCCCGCGGTTACAGCGTGGCAACTTGGAATGGTGGGAATTAGGCGAGGAGGTGGTGTGGATATCGCGTGGTTCGGGTGCTTGGTTGATTGCAGTGAGGCAGAAGCGGAGGTGGAGTGCACTTGGAGGGATGTACGGGTGAAGAAGGAGGGATGGAAATTGAAATACTTACTGAGGATGGAGTGGAGGGGACGCGCGAGCAGAGATGCAGGGGTACGGAGTGATTAGGTGTGGTGGCGGTACGGCGGGCATTTTTTTTTTTTTTTTTTTTTTTTTTTTTTTTAAGGCGGGTTACTTTTTATTGGGCGGTACACTACAGATGGGAATTCGGGAATGTGGACCAGTCGTGGTAGCTGCGAGCACGTTGGAAAGTTTGGGCTGCCCTGATTCTGCCCTCGTGGTAGGGAGATGTGACCAATCGCTGTTTGGATGTGTGACTCCGAGATCGTGTAGGCTGATCTGGCTATGTGGTGTGACCTGCGGCTGTTGTGGAGGAAGGGGGTTTTGATTGGCGGGAAACACAACTACTGGCAGTCCGAGGTTCCATGAACCCACCACGTGGCAATGCATGAACAGATACATTTGGCCACATGAAACTGGTATAGATGTGGATTGCCATTAAAATCTGTTCTTACAGTTTACGCATGAGATGGAGCCCTTGAATTACCAATAGCTGGATGCATCTGCCTAACAATAAAATCATTCTCCGAATGCAGTGGGTTGTATAAACGGGGTTGGTTATAGTAAGGCTGTCCCTGAAGTATCCTGATTCGCAGGGTGATTCACGTAAAAGCCTTGCAAACTTTCACGTTCGTCCGATATACCGCTTCGGTCTGACTCTGAATCATTTCAGAAAGGATACGCGGGCAGCTCATGCAGAGTCCAAATGCCTGGCGAAACAAGTCGTTGTCTCAGTCACCTGAGATGGAAACAACAAGCGATGGTGGGTGGTTTGACATCACCGCGACCTCCTCCTCGTTCATTGGTCTTTCCCAACTTCGAATATCGGCGGAAATATTTTCCTGCCTTCGGATTGGTGACAGGAGCCAGATGTGCTTTGCACCACACACTACCAGTAACCTCATCAAAGTCTCATTGGGTTGCCCCTCCCTGGACGACTTTCACATTAGTCCAGCAAAAAGAAATGGCATGCTTACAGCCCTCTGATTATGTGGAGTGGTTGACTCTATAGTGGGCAGGAAAATAGGGGTAGTTGATGTGCTAATTTATAAATGTTTACTGTACAGGACTTTATAAACTGTACAAAATCAGACAACCTCAAAGGGTTGCGTGCCCCTTCTTGTTGCACAACGTGCCATGATTGTTTCGTCCTCTTGCGTCGCCACCCTCCTACTGTTCTGCTGGTTGGAGCTACCGTTCGCGTCAAATCGATGCCCGGGCAGGGACAAGCTTCTGAGCTATGTATCGTATATCCATAGAATGTCATATATAACAGAGAATCAACACACAATCCTTTAGAAAAGCGGGATGAGACTGGTTCTACGGCGCATATTCAGAAAAAACTAATTTGAATTATCTTCCAGAACACCCGTCTGTTTAGGTACAGTTTTTGCATGTCATATTACACCAAATCTCAATATGTATATTCGCGTGCAAAGCTGAAACCGATGCCCACTTGCCCATTATTGCGCACATGCACAGAACACCAAACCACCACCTGCCATGGCGGCCGTTCTCATTTTCCCGCGTCTCTTTTGTGCAACCCCGTGTACTGTACTAGCTCTTCAAGAAACTTGAAAGGAAATAATTTGATTTGAACCATGGTTCAACGCACAGCACCGGAGGAAAAAACGAAATCAAGCCCCGCCGGCAAAGGAAGCAAGGGTGTCCACGAAATGCACCATCATCCCATGTCCGCCTCCCAATCCAGCCAAGCAAGCCCAGCCAAGCCTTTCCTGCACTCCAGCGCAGCATGCGCTCTGTTCTAAAATGCACGGAATCTGACCAACCCACCCACCTGACTGACTATCCATCCGCCATCGCCACAGCACCTGAGCTCACAAGTTATCTTCCATACCGTAGCTGTGTCTGCTGTCGCACGATAACTCCCATTTGTTGTTCCTTGTGGTCGATGTAAATGCAACCTAAGCGGCTCCTGGATTGCCGTCACCGTTAACAATGATCTCCTGTTTCGATTACCAGCGAGCCGCTGAAGTTCCTCACGCTCTTGTGCTTCAGTAGTAACGTCCGGGCGACATCGCACGCACCGCACACAGGCATCCATGTCGTCGACTTCCTTATCCGTCGCGCATTCCCTGTCGTCGTCGCAATTAGCAGCAGCACCAGGAGACGGTCCAACGGCTCGAGATTACTCTAACCGCACCGCATCCTCAATGTCCGCGTCGCCTCTCCGTCCTCGAACCCCGTTCCGCGGACCAAACACCCACTCGCAAATCTCCCAGTCTTTCGACATCCCCAACTCCCCGTCCTCCCCCGCCATTCCCCCCCCTACCCCCGATGACGCCGCTCGCCGCCTCGCCATCCGCCTGCTCATGGGGACGAAGCCTTCCGCCGAGTGCCTCTCGCCGTCGCGCACCCCTCGTGGGGGCGGGGGCGGAAGGAGCGAGAGTGGCGGCGAGCGGGCGCACAGTCGCAGCTTCTCGATGAAGGAGCGGCGCGAAGGAGGAGACGACTGGTCGGCGCGGATTGCAGCAGAGGTTGCGAGTGAGAGCCCGAGGGGAAGAATCGGGGCGAGATCTCCGGCGCCCGAGGGGAGCTGGCGGCTGATGAGCGCGCGCGGAGGGGTGCGGGGAAATAGCAGTACGGATCTCTCGGGGTATGCGCGGATGCGGGGGGACGGCGCGGCGGAGGCGGCGGCGTCGGGAGGCGAAGAGGACTCGGCAGACGACTCGGAGATGGACGAATGGGGGAGATCGGGGGGAATGGGGGCGAACGGAGAGGGAGAGGATGAGGAGGACGAGGGAGAGGAGGAGGAGGACGACGAAGAGCCGGAGACGCTTTGGCAACGAAGCAGAAGCAACACCCGACTGAACAGCAGCGGCGGAAGCGGCGGAGGCGGCGGGGGTGGCGGGGCCGACTGGGACGGCGGAGAAGTGACAATCAGGGTTGGGTCCAAGTGGTTTCCTATTTCCACGTTAGCGTCGGTTCCGCCGTCGCAGTCGCAGTTGCAGTCGCAGTCGCAGTTGCAGTCGCAGTCGCAGTCGCAGTCGCAGTCGCCGTCGCCGTCGCCTGCCGTCGCGGGCAGCTTCCACGATCGCGTGCACCTCGCGGAGGAACGACACAGGCAGCTGCAGCTCCAGCATCAGCAACAGGAGAAGAAGCAGCGAGAGCAGCAGCAGCAGCAGGAGGAGGAGGAAAAGCAGAAGAAAGCAGACATAAGCAGGGTGCGCTCCTTCCTCGAAACTCTTCAGCGACCGAAAACTGCGCCTGCCTGTCGAGCAGCAGATGCTGCCGTGAGTGGTGGTAGCTGTAGCAGCGGGGTTGAGAGCACGAACAACGGGAACGGCAGGAATAATGCCGTTAGTAGCGCCGCTTCAAACGGCGCCTCGAGAGGCAAAAGCGGCAGATCCTACCAGCAGAGTAACCTGAGCCACCGGCAAGACGTCGACGGCTCGAATAGGCACGGCGGTAGCCTTATGCGCCTCGAGAGCGACACGTCGGACGACGGCGGCGCTGACGTGGCGGAGTGTATGGACAGCAGCAGCACGGACGGCGTCGGCGGCGGTGCCGCCGGCCGTCGCGGCGGGTCGAACAGTAGCGACAGCAGCAGCGACGGCAGCCCGCGATCGGCGGCGGCGACGACGGAGGACGTGTGGGTGCTGTCGAAGCAGGTCGCCGTGCTGCAGCAACAGCTGGCCGACGCTTCCGCCGCTAACTGCGAGCTACTAGGTAAGGACCAACGGAGCGCGCGCACGAGTGATGTCATGTCGTCCCGCCCGCCTTCGCTTGGTGATTTTAATACTTTTCTGTCTTGCCTCGTTCGCTCTCTTCCGCCTTACCCTAATCCGTCGCCTCTCCCATGGTACTCCTTTTCGTCGTCTGTGCGCCGTAGATCGCGTGGAGCTCAAGTCGCAGGCTCTAGCGGAGGCCGAGGCGCGTCTTAAAGACATGCAGCAGTCGCTGCGCGGAATGGAAACCGCGGCTCGCGACGTGGAGGCTAAGCTGCGCGACGCGCGGTCGGAGGTGCACGCGCTGCGGGAGGCGCAGGCGGAGCGTGACGCGGCCTGCGCGGAGCGCGACGCGATGGCGGCGGAGATGGAGGCGGCGCTGAGCTCGTGGTCGCGCGCTCTGGAGGAGGCGAAGGACGCGCGCGACGAGGCGCGAGAGGCGGCGGAGGCGGGCGCCGCGGCGCGGCAGAAGCTGGCGGAGGCGGAAGCGGAGAATAAGCGCCTGTGGCAGGTGATGGACCTGCTGATGTCGCAGCAGAAGGCGCGCGGAGGGGGCGGCGGAGCGGGAGTGGGGGGCGGAGGAGGCGGAGCAGGAGGCGGAAAAGCGCTTCTTGATGCACTAGCTAGGCAAGAGGGGGGGAACGGAAGCGGCAGCAGAGGGTATGCGGCCGGAGGAGCAGGGGCGACGGGGGTGGGGGGTGCGAGTGGCGGAGGTATGAGTGCTGCTGGGCTGCGGTCCGTGCTAGAGTCCCTGCGCGCTGCCTCTGGTACCGACTCCCACCGCTCCTCACCTGCTCGCTCCTCCTCTGCTGATTGCTACTCTCGCCCCGCAACTGCTGCTGCTGCTGCTTCTGCCTTGGCTGCTGCGGGTTCGGCTGCTAGGGCTGTCGCTGCTGCTGGTTCTGCTGGTGGCGGTGGTGTAGGTGGTGGGCGTGCCATGGGTGGTGGGGGGGGTTCTATGGACGTGCAGCAGCAGCTGCAGGCGCTACTGCTGCAACGGCAGCAGCGGCAACAGAAACAGCAGCAGCAGCAGCAGCAGCAGCAGCAGCAGCAGCAGCAGCAGCAGCAGCAGCAGCAGCAGCAGATGCAGATGCAGCAGCTGCAGCAGCAGGAACAGGGGGAGGAGCAATATTATATAATGAACAACCAGCAGCAGCAAGATTGCCAGCAGCAGCAACAGCACCAGGAGTACCAGCATCAGCACTGGCACGAAGAGAACACTTACACTGGCAGCAGCAGCAGCAGCAGCAGCAGGCCGAACAAGCCAAGCACTACACCTAGACTGTCCTCCCTCCCCACGCATGCTTACCCGCCAGGAGCGGCAGCAGGGGACTCAGTGGTGAGAGGCAGGTATGCGTCTGTGCGAGTGTCAGTAGCAGGACCAACGGCAGCGGCAGGAGGAGCAGGAGGAGCAGGAGCAGGAGGAGGAGAAGTAAGGGGCGCTTGTGGTGCGCCGGCAGTGGGACGTAGCAGCAGCGCTGGCATGGCCGGCAGTGTTGCGGGTGGCATGGCTGGTGGCTTTGGTGGCAGCAGAGTTGCTCGGCAGCAGGTGCAGCAGCGAGGGGCGGTGAGATTGGGGTACGGGGAGAGCAGTGCAGCAGCAGCAGTGGTGCCAGATGCCATGCGTGTGGCTGGGCTTGAGAAGGGCATGTTCTGTGCCTGCTAGCACACCCCCCACCCCACATGCTGACACTGCTGCTCACAGGTGCAGTTGAGCAGTCGCCTTGCCGGGCTGGTGTGCAGTGTGAATCTCACTGCTGATGCTGCTGCTGCTGCTGTGATGCTAGCTCCACGCAATACTCTCGGACGAGCAATGGAAAGAGGGAAGGACGGACGGTACTGCTGGCACAGTTACCGGTACATACACGGACTAGTAATGAGTTGTCCATAGAAAGTAAGTAGTGTGTTGGAAGGTCTAGTGCTGGTGGAATTCCTTAGGTGATATAGTTTTAAGTAGTATGCGTTGCGTAGACAGTGTATGCAAGTAATAAGTAGCTGGACGGCGTAGGTACCTTACTTGTGTTTCAAGTAGTTTTCGCTAAATGATTGTAGATCATAGCATATGTGAATCTGCTCAGATGGAAGAGAAGAATGCGAAAACCGTACAATAAAAAAGGCAGCACATTAACTTCTGATTCAAAGAAATGATGAGGTGAGGAGAGGAGAGCCGAGTAACCTATCAAGCAAGCAAGCTATTTAACCGGGCAACCCCCCTACCCATCCAGCTACCGTACACTGAGCGCACCTGCACCTGCACCTGCACTGCACGTGCATGTGCTCTATTGCTGGTCTCAGAGGAACTAAGTGAAGTGAGTCACAGCGACGGCAAACCCCACACGTCTGCCTGGTCCTTCCCCCGTCCCCCCGTCCCCCCGTCAGAGCGCTACTGCTGCTGGTCGCGGAGGAACTGGGTGAGGCGGGCTTTAAATAGGGCGGGCACGCGTGTGGGGCGGTATGCCTTGTCCAGAAACACCACCGTCGCCTGCCCCTGTAGCACCCGCTGCTCCCAGCCAAGCGTGAAGTGGAAGAGGGGAGGCGTGGTGTGGGGGGGGGGGGGGGGGGAGTGGGAGGTGGGGAGAGATGGTACAAGTGTTGAGTCTACTAAGAACCTTCCACTGCAGCACTTGCTGCGCGCAGCTGGCGTGCATTGGAAGAGGGGAGGTGGGGGGAGGGGGGGGTGGGGGGTGGGGGAGAGACTGTTTGGGGCGAGTGCGAAGGGATAAGGGGGTGAGATGGGGGAAAGAAGGTCGTGCGATGGGAAGAGGGTGGGGATGTGGACAACGGAAGGTGGTGATACTGTGGGATGGCGAGATGATTGGATGGTGGCACGATGGGATGGTAGGAATGGGGGGATGATTGGAGGGAAGCTGGGATGCTGGGATGCTGGGATGCTGGGAAGCTGGGAAGCTGGGATGCTGGGAAGCTGGGATGCTGGGATGCTGGGAAGTGCATACACACCTCCTTATCCGGCAGTCTGTATATGGTATGCTCTATGAACACTCGCGCTGCTGTCGTGCCCGACACTCGCGCCGTCACCACAAACTCATCGCCACTCTGGGTGGCGAGGTGGGAGGGGAGGGGGTGGAGGGAGGGTGGGCGGAGCATGGAAGGGAGGCATGGCTGGCATGGCTGGCATGGCTGGCATGGCTGGCATGGCTGGCATGGCTGGCATGGCTGGCATGGCTGGCATGGCTGGCATGGCTGGCATGGCTGGCATGGCTGGCATGGCTGGCATGGCTGGCATGGCTGGCATGGCTGGCATGGCTGGCATGGCTGGCATGGCTGGCATGGCTGGCATGGCTGGCATGGCTGGCATGGCTGGCATGGCTGGCATGGCTGGCATGGCTGGCATGGCTGGCATGGCTGGCATGGCTGGCATGGCTGGCATGGCTGGCATGGCTGGCATGGCTGGCATGGCTGGCATGGCTGGCATGGCTGGCATGGCTGGCATGGCTGGCATGGCTGGCATGGCTGGCATGGCTGGCATGGCTGGCATGGCTGGCATGGCTGGCATGGCTGGCATGGCTGGCATGGCTGGCATGGCTGGCATGGCTGGCATGGCTGGCATGGCTGGCATGGCTGGCATGGCTGGCATGGCTGGCATGGCTGGCATGGCTGGCATGGCTGGCATGGCTGGCATGGCTGGCATGGCTGGCATGGCTGGCATGGCTGGCATGGCTGGCATGGCTGGCATGGCTGGCATGGCTGGCATGGCTGGCATGGCTGGCATGGCTGGCATGGCTGGCATGGCTGGCATGGCTGGCATGGGCTGGCATGGCTGGCATGGCTGGCATGGCTGGCATGGCTGGCATGGCTGGCATGGCTGGCATGGCTGGCATGGCTGGCATGGCTGGCATGGCTGGCATGGCTGGCATGGCTGGCATGGCTGGCATGGCTGGCATGGCTGGCATGGCTGGCATGGCTGGCATGGCTGGCATGGCTGCATGGCTGGCATGGCTGGCATGGCTGGCATGGCTGGCATGGCTGGCATGGCTGGCATGGCTGGCATGGCTGGCATGGCTGGCATGGCTGGCATGGCTGGCATGGCTGGCATGGCTGGCATGGCTGGCATGGCTGGCATGGCTGGCATGGCTGGCATGGGCTGGCATGGCTGGCATGGCTGGCATGGTCGGCATGGCCTGGCATGGCTGGCATGGCTGGCATTGGCTGGCATGGCTGGCATGGCTGGCATGGCTGGCATGGCTGGCATGGCTGGCATGGCTGGCATGGCTTGGCATGGCTTGGCATGGCTGGCATGGCTGGCATGGCTGGGCATGGCTGGCATGGCTGTGCATGGCTGGCATGGATGGCATGGCTTCGGCAGGCTGGCATGGCTGGCCATGGCTGGCATGGCTGCATGGCTGGCATGGCTGGCATGGCTGGCATGGCTGGCATGGCTGCTGGCTGCATGGCTGGCATGGCTGGCATTGGCGCTGGCATGGCTGGCATGGGCTTGGCATTGGCTGGCATGGCTGGCATGGCTGGCATGGCTGGCATGGCTGGCATGGCTGCATGGCTGCATGGCGGCCATGGCTGGCATGGCTGGCATGGCTGGCATGGCTGGCATGGCTGGCATGGCTGGCATGGCTGGCATGGCTGGCATGGCTGTGGCTGGCATGGCTGGCATGGCTGGCATGGCTGGCATGGCTGGCATGGCTGGCATGGCTGGCATGGCTGGCATGGCTGGCATGGCTGGCATGGCTGGCATGGCATGGCTGGCATGGCTGGCATGGCTGGCTGGCTGGCATGGCTGGCATGGCTGGCATGGCTGGCATGGCTGGCATTGCTGGCATGGCTGGCATGGCTGGCATGGCTGGCATGGCTGGCATGGCTGGCATGGCTGGCATGGCTGGCATGGCTGGCATGGCTGGCATGGCTGGCATGGCTGGCATGGCTGGCATGGCTGGCATGGCATGGTGCATGGCTGGCTGGCATGGCATGGCTGGCATGGCTGGCATGGCATGGCATGGCATGGCTGGCATGGCATGGCATGGCATGGCATGGCATGGCATGGCTGGCATGGCATGGCATGGCATGGCATGGCATGGCATGGCATGGCATGGCATGGCATGGCATGGCATGGCATGGCATGGCATGGCATGGCATGGCATGGCATGGCATGGCATGGCATGGCATGGCATGGCATGGCATGGCATGGCATGGCATGGCATGGCTGGCATGGCATGGCATGGCATGGCATGGCATGGCATGGCATGGCATGGCATGGCATGGCATGGCATGGCATGGCATGGCATGGCTGGCATGGCATGGCATGGCATGGCATGGCATGGCATGGCATGGCATGGCATGGCTGGCATGGCATGGCATGGCATGGCATGGCATGGCATCCGCAGTGCGTAGAGGAGCTTGAGAGGTGAGCTTCTGAAGTCACTGACAAGCCAAGCCAGCACTCTGCTAGGAACCCCCCACCCGACCCCCCCCTTTAACCCTCCCCCCCTGCGACTCACGCGCAGGGCGTTGAGGTATTTGAGGGAGAGCTCGGCGAGGGCGAGGGCGTCCCCTGTGCGCGCCACCTCGTCCGCCGCCAGCCCTATGGACGCCAGGAACTCGTGCCGCGCTGCCACGTGTGCTCACACGTGCACGTGCCCGTGGTGGTGGTGGTGATGATGGTGGCATGGTGTCGTGAAGTGAAAGGGGTGAGTTGAAGGGATGGGTGGGAGAAAGGGGGTGGGTGGGACGAGAGAGCGAGCTGTGAGATGGAGGTGGTGGGGGAGCAATGAGAAATGCATGCATGCATGTATGGTATGGAATGATGAGTAGGTACCAGCACAAGAGCATTCCTGCAAGGCGAGGGTGAATCCACACGGGACACATCCCACCAGTTTCTCTCCCTCCCTCCCTCTCACCCGCTCCTTCGTTCCACCCCCTCCTCCTTCGCTTCTCTACCCAGCACACTCTTCCCCCAACAAACCGCTCTGCTCCCCAGGCACCCCTTCCCCCTCGGCCACAGTCCATCTGCAGCGGGTGGGGCAGGGCAGGGCAGGGCAGGGCAGGGCAGGGCAGGGCAGGGGTGCACCGTGCTGGCAGTAGCTGGCGTAGGTGGCGTTGTTGACGACGCGGTACTGGTCCAGCTCGTAGTCGCGCACCTTCATCGCCACCGAGTATGGCTCCCGCATCCTGGTCGCAGCAGCGGCAGCAGCAGCGGCAGGGTCACGGGACACGGGGCACGGGGCACGGGTAAGGGGTAAGGGACAGGGGAGAATATGGGGAGGCAGGCGAGTGAGGAGGTAGGTAGGAGGTGGGTGGGAGAGGAGAGCGGGGAGAAGGCAGAGAAAGGGACAGAGGGGGAGGCAGTCCGGACATTGTCGTTCGGCTTCTCGTCCTTCCACTCCGCGCATAACATTCTCTTCCATCCAACCACTGCATCCCTCAACTCCCTCACGCACTGCCTCACTCCCTCGCTTCCTCCCTCACTCCCTCCCTCCCTCCCTCACTCCCTCGCTTCCTCCCTCCCTCCCTCCTTCGCTCCCTCCCTCCCTCCTCCCTCCCCCACTCACTAACTCACTCACTCACTCCAGGCTGCCGAAGAGCTTCGCGACTTGGAGATCGACTCCCCCCTCGGCCCCATCCCCGCCCTCCGCCCTCACGGCCACGCGCGCTGGTCTACATCCCCCGCCAATGCCGCGGACGGCCGCGGGGAAGCCGCGCGGAGGGCGGAATTCCGCCGGCGATGAGCGGGAAGGTCTGAGCGCCGATTGGGGGGAATGCGACGGGGGAAGGGGAGTGAGTGCAGCGTGCGCCGATGCCTGTGCGGCGGAGAAAAGGCGCGGGCTGTTCGGGGCGAACGAAAGGCGGAGGGAGGCGCGCACGGGGGAGACGGCGGAGGCTATCCGGGGAAGGGGAATGCCCGCCATGTGGCAAGGCTTGGCGCTGGGCTGGGGAGGCCGAAGAGGAAACTCGACCCAACGTGGTAGCTGGGAGAGGTGGGGCGGAAGGACGTGTTGAGAAATTGGATTACCAGGAGGGGAGGGGGTCGTGTGATTGTGGGTTGGTAATGCTTGTGCGCCAGGTGTCTGTAGCGAGTACGGTATGCTTTTTTGATGGGTGCGACCTACACTTGTAGAAACGGGTTTTCTTACAACCTGAACCCTTCATCAACATCCTAATTATATTTCAAACTCGAGACATCCCCCGATCCACAGTGTTTGCCAAGCTCGTTGGTACGAATTGAGTAGGTTGTGCTGGACAACTGATTGATGTTATCTCGTGCAATGCACTGGGAGAGTGGATAAAGTGTAGGACGTTTTTCCGTTTGCACCGTGAAAATGCCAGGTGATTCGATCCAACGAACACAGCAGAGTTACTACTACAAACTCCATTTCAATGCATATAAATACATTTAGCGAACATGGCTACTACCAGACGGCCCTAAAACGTCTATAATATATTGGTCACTGATACAAGACAGGCGTCCAACGCATCAAGATAAGCTGAGAAGATGATTGGGATATGGGTGGCATGCGGGGGAGGGAACAAACCGCGCGGAGAATGGGGAAAGATGAGGGCAGACGAGGGAGAGCGGGGAGGAGGGGCGGGGCGGAATGGAAGTTTGGTTGGGGACGATTGGGTGGTGCGACCCTTATTCAGGATACCACCTTCTTGCGAAACGGACAGGAGGACCAGACAACGCGTTTCACGGCGGCGAGTATTTGCAGTCGCACAGTCGGCCCCGTGCGACGCTCAGACTCAGACGGACGCTTTGCGCTCCGCAGTAGTTTCCGACACAGTCGCGGCGATATCGCTGTCGCGCTGCACCGCAACCGTTGATTGCTTCTCAGGCGCCATCCTGCGCGCCTGCCACGAGCTGCCGGCGGGAACCGCGGCTGCAGCTTGGGACGACCTGGCGTGCGGGCGCAGACGCAGCATGGAGGAAACAAGCGGCGCGGGCACGATCACGCCGCCCATGGAGTGCACAACGACGTTCCGCGTCGTCAGCGCGTTAATATCCTTCACGGGCGCGCCCCCCGCGTAGAAGTAATGCGGGTCCATGGAGAGAACTATAGCCGATCCAGTGGAAGACGTGGCGGCGCCGTTCCAGGCGAAGAGAGAGACGCTGTGGGGGACGAAGTGGTGCAGGAGGAGCTGTCGCAGCGCCGCGCGATTCTCGGGGAGCACGAGGGTTTCGAGGCCCTCTTGAGAGATCTGTTCTGAGATGCCTGCGTTGGTGGGGGCAAGGACGGTGACGGTGTTCGCTCTCGCGATCATGCCGTCGATTTCAGGCCCAAGGTTTGCGTGCGAAAGGAGCCTGGCGAAACTGGTGTAACCGGACGTGGATAGCTGCAAGACGAAGGAGGCGTGCGCGAGAGACAGGGATAGGGACGCCAGGAGCAAGAAAGCCAGACAGCGTGCAGCCATTTGCGTCATCGTGGTGTGACCGCTCACGAAGCAAGGGTATGGAAGATGAAGTTGCTTTGATTTAGTAAGGTGGCGCAAGGGAAGAATGTCTGTTGCTTTCGATCCCCAAGAAGCCAATGAAAAACTTGGTTAGCTTGTCAATTAGGCTATTGATCAAAGTTATTCGAGGTGTGAACTGAATGGATGTCGGCGCGAGGGGTAGAGTTGAGTCAGGGACGGACGCTACTCGCGGACACACGCGCTCATGTTGCGTAGTATTGGCGGGAATTCTGAGAATGTTTTTTTCTTCCAGGGGTGCAACGCATGGCCGACGGTTTCGCCCCGACTTCCGTGCTTGGCGTTGATGATGGGTGCTGCTGCATGTACGGTTGAGCGACGGAGACGGGAATAACGCACACAAAGAAAAGTGTACACCCTGCCTGCTGCATAGAACTTCACGATGCACTCCTGAACAGTTTTGGAAAAATCTGCGCTTCGGACTCCCGCTCAATTCAGCAGACATTCTTGGCGAATCGAATTGGGCGGAGGAATTCCTGCGGTTCAGATTGGACACCGTCCATCGCCGTGTGCAACGGAGAAACGAGCAGGTTCTTTCTGGAAAGCATTTCCCCCCGTGGTCAAACCCAGTCTCTCCTGGCCAATTTCCTGAAGATGAAAGCTGCACTTGTGTACTGTGTATGGAATTTCGCCTGCGCGTTTCCCGGATACTTGCAGTCTGCAACCCATATGCATTTCACCGACAGCGAATGCCTGGGGAATGTGTGGACCTGCTGAAACTGCGCCCCATTTTGCAACATCTTCGTTATAGTACACACAAAGAACTCTCAATCTTAAGATACACAAATTGTAATATGATGCGTAAGATTTATAGCTTGACGCATGTGATAAGAGAATCCAAATCCTGTCTCCCTAATCACTTGCCCCACATCTTGACATTCGAGAAGAAAATATGCATAGGATTATAACATTCCACCACGTATCTCTATTATCTCGTATGTATATTCATAACGAAGTACTCTGCAAAATGCTCACAGATATTACGGAGATAGTTTTGGGCCGGCACAGCCTCCTAAAATTAGGGCCTAGGCCAAGCGGCAGTCTTGATTCCAACGCAACACAAAAAAACGGTGGATTTCTTTCTCCGAATTTCCGGAGTCGCCGCGACGACGTGGATACGCAGCCATGAACCGCTATGGGTAGCACGCGAAATTAGTGTCCGTTACTGCCGTCTCATCGGGCAACACGGCGCCGCGCAAGCAAGTTTGAGTATTCCTACGAGCTGCGCCTCAGTCGAACAGGCAACTCTGGCTCGTGGCGGCTTCCAACCCGCAACGCGAGCCAATCCAGTGCCTGCGATCGCGGTGGGGGAAACCATCCCTTCGAGGAGTCTCAAAGCGCGCATCCGCCAGGCGAGCGCCAGTGCATTCGCTCCAGCGGTGCATTCGCCGCGCAAACGGGCATCCGCGCATTGGCGGGGCCGTATCGACATCCCGTCACGTCTCGTCTCCTCTCGTCTCGTCTCGTCGCCTTGGGGTGTCGGCATTCGGTCGCAATGGCGCGGTTGCGTGGCTGTGCGCTCGTGGCGGTGATGCTGCTCGCTGCCGTCGTGGCGGGCAGTCGCTGTGCCTCTGCGCAAAAGAGCAACCTCTTAGGTACGCTGCTGTGCCGCGCCGTGTAACGCTGTGGTGTGCTGCTGCGTGTGTGCGCGCGCGTGTGTGTCCGCATGTTCATGCGCTTCCTTCTGTGTGTGTGTGCGCGAGCATGTGTGATGTGTATTCCGGTTCCCCCATGCCATGCCATCCATGCCACCCCACCCCACCCCACCCCACCCCACCCCACAACACCCCACGCCACCCCAACCCACACGGGAGCAGGCGAGGTGATGGGGGTGCTGGCAACAGAATGGTCCAACAGCGACCTAGCATCGTTCACATGCAAGACCGCCCCGGACGTGCTCCTCTGCAACGACCAGGGCCAAGTGGTCTCCATGTACGCGCTGCTACGCCCACTCCACTGCCCACTCCACTGCCCACTCCACCCCATGTCCGTGCCTAGTCAGTGAGCACAGCATGGGGTGCATTCCTAGTCACTGCCACACCATGCACGTGCCAGACGTTCAGTTCAAGCCTGCGCCGCACTCCCTGACACCTCTTGCTCTCCACTTCCCCCCACCCACCCACCCCATCTCTCAACGCCCCTCCTCATGCTCTTGCTCTCCTACTCCACCCCCAACCATGCGTGCTGGAGCGACGAGCAGGCAGCTGGACGGAGCAGCGAATGCGGTGACGGGGGGAGATACCTTCCAGTACCCCACCATCCCTGCGCAGATAGGCAACCTCACCACTCTCACCTACCTGTCAGTGGCCAACCTCTCCCAACTGTCGCCACTTGGCATGCTCTGCGTACTCCCCACCCCACCTGTACCTGCCATGCTCATCGCACTGTGTCACTGCTGCAGCAGCTGCTGCAGTGCACTGCACTGCCACTGCTGCCACTTCGCTGTCTTCTGCCCATGCCCATGCCCATGCCCATGCCCATGCCCACGCAGATGTCTGCATGATGGGCCATGCTGAGAGGCAGAGGAGTGGCGTGTGGAGTTACTCCTCATTCTCACAAGCATTCTTTTCTGCATGCCAGCATAGTTGATCGCCTGCTGTGCTTTGCCGCGCTCTGTCGCTGCTGTTGGTCGTTTGTGCGGCTGGCTGTTGGATGTGTGTGTGTATGTGTGTGTGTGGTTGCATGAGCAGGAGCATGTCATCCAACTCTCTCACCGGCTCTGTGCCAGACTCATTCACCAACCTCGTTCAACTGCAGTTACTGTATGCTCGCACACACACTCAGGATGCCCCTTCCACCTCTTTTGTACGCATACTGTGTGTGTGTGTGTGTGTGTCTGTGTGTGTGTTTGTGTGTGTGTGTGTGTGTGTGTGTGTGTTTTATCATTTCTTCTTGCATGCAATGAGCAGTTACGTTGCATGCACACTTGCGTGTGTGCATGAATGTATGCCCATGCACGCATGCACGCGTTCACTCACCCACCTGCACACACACTGCCATGCTCCTCTGGAAGGGACCTGAGCGCCAACTTGATGAAGATAATTTAGTCGACTAAGAAATCCACTCACTCACTCACTCACTCACTCACTCACTCACTCACTCATTTACTCACCCGCCCAGCCCACCCGCCCACCCACACATTGCGTGCTCCTCTGGCAGGGATCTGAGCGCCAACCTGATAAAGAAGCCCATCGATGCCATCATGACCCTCTCTGCTCTCACCTTCCTGTGAGCACCCCTCCCTCCTGCACTGCGCCCGCACGCAACCTTTGACTTGACACGCCTTGTGAGCTGGCTTAAAGCCCAAGACCCGAATTACAAAAAAAGAAGGCAAACTGTGCACAGTTTGCCTGCCGCAGCCCACAGTTTTGCCCCGCGTTGACTTGCGTTGAGTAATTCAGGTCTTGGGCTTTAAGAAACAGTCCCCATTTCCTGCTCTCACGTTCTTGCGATGCCAGCAGCCCCCCGCTCTCTCTCTCTCTCTCTCTCTCTCTCTCTCTCTCTCTCTCTCACTCTCTCTCTCTCTCTCTCTCTCTCTCTCTCTCTCTCTCTCTCTCTCTCTCTCAAATGGTCCTTTGTATTAATTCAGCAGGGGGCACAGACATGCAGTGTGACTCGTGGTTCCCTTAGACCTTCCGACCCATTAACCCATCCCTCTGACCCTCTCCCCCCCCCCCCTTAGTGCCCCTACCCCTCCAGCGTGTGGAGGATGTCCCCTAGGTGCAGCGGCCATGGGTCCGCTGCCATCTGGGGGTGCGCTGCCTCAATCCCAGCCCTGGCCTTGGTGTGCAGGGCATTCGCCTGGGAGCGCTGGAGGGCCACTGACCAGCGTTGGCTGAAGTGGCAGGCCATCTTCTTGGCCGATTTGGCCAAGGGGTTGGCCCTGAACCTGTTCCTAGCCGCTGCTGTGGCCAGCAGCTTAAGGAACGCTGTCGTGGGGGGCGCGTTTGCCCCGTAGGTCTCGACGGCCAGGGCGCAGAACACCACGTGTTCGGTGTGCCTGTAGTAGTCCCTCTCCTTCCGCCTCTGTGCCTCCCTTGCAGCCCAGCCTGGGGGTTTGCGGGCTGTCGGGTCTCGGTTCTGCAGCACAGGGTCAGTGATAGTAGTGTCTGTGATCCAAGTCTCTCCACTGTCCGGGTCGCGTACAATCACATCTGCCTTCTTCGGGTCATCCGGTGGTGAGTACATTGCATTTTCCAGGTATACCACCAGCTGCGCCTCCCTCGCCATTTTAGCCACGGCGAAGGCCAGCTGGTTGTGTGCGCGCGTTCTGTCCGGACCTGTGCTGCAGCGGAGTAAGTGGTTGGGTAGGCTGCAGTCGGCCACGAGCTCTCCACACTCGCACACGGTAGGTACATTCTGTCGGATGCCCATGCGGAAGGCCAGGGCTGTTCGGAATTGCCCTGGTGAGAAGCAGAGGTCTGGTGTCAGGGGTAGGGCTTGCAGCCATGCTCCCGCTCCCTCGCCTCTCAGGCTGACGAGGCGGAGCGTGTGGCCCATCTCGGGGGCTGACCTGATTGAGCGTGATTCCTCTGTCAGGGCGTCGGCCTTTGCCGCGTGCACCTCCTGAGAGAGGGCGCGCTGAAGCTGGTCTTGGGACGGGGTTTCTTGCTCCTCACGGAGGTGTTGCAGCGCCAGCGGCGGCAGTCGTCCCTCCATATCTTGGATGGTGACCGAGTGTGCTGCAGACGGCTGCAGGGCGTTGCTGTTGCGCCCCAGTGCCGCGGTTGCTGGTAGGTCAAGTGAGCGGAGCAGGCGTAGCGCCTCTGTCGTTGAGGCCAGGTAGGCCGGAGCTGCTTCTGTTGTGGGGTCCGTGAGGCCCAGTCCGCCTAGGGCTACTGAGAGGGTTGCTTGGCGGATGAGGAAATTGAACTCGGCTTCGCGGCGGGGTGGTTGAATGCTGGCGGCAGTCAGGGCGGTGTTGAGCAGTTCAGCGCACCACGCGTGCCATTCCGAGAGGGGTAGGGCATCTGCTGGGGTGGTGCGCAGCAGGTAGCCGATTCTGCGGCTGATGCAGCGGGACAATAGCAGGAGGGCATGCTGTGGATGGATGGATGCTAGGGAGCCTAGGGGTGCCGCTGCGTCTGTCAGAGTGCTGCGGACTAGGTCAGAGCAGAAGCGCTGTGACCCCACAGGGCTTCCCAGCACCCGTACCCCCTCGTGGGTGAGGGGGAGGCCCTCTGGGAGCTCGTCCCCTTCAAGCGGCGTCGTGGACCACGCCGACGACTTTCTGAGGTTGCAGGTGAGGCCATCCTGGGCTAGCAGCGGCGTCAGCAACCTTAGCGCGCCGAGCGTTGCTGTCGCCGGTCCGATCATGGTGATGTCATCTGCGTACGCTAGGATCGTGACTTCTGGGTGCTCTGCTGCTGTGCGTCTGAGGTGCTGCTGGATTGATGCCGCGAACAGCAGGGGTCCGAGGGGGTCCCCCTGCCTAACTCCCCTTCCGCTGGTGAGTGCCGTTGTGCTCAAGCGTGGATCGGTCAGCAGCTGTGAAGGCGTTGCGTAGAAGGAGCGAGTGAAAGGTATGAGCGGTGCTAACGGGGTGTTGGTGAGTGCGTTGAAGAACGCTTTCCTCTCTACGGAGTTGAGAGCGTTTTCAATGTCAAGTTGGAGGACTAGGCTGGATGGTTGTGAAGTGGTGAGGTCTCTGACTGCGTGTATAACGAACTCAGCTCCGCCTGGGACTGCCACGCCGAATTGCTGGGGTAAGAAAAATCGCCTTGTTTCTCCTTGCAGTTCCGAAAGTGCCACCTTTGCTGCCAGCCGAAGCAGGGACTCCCCTATCGCGATAGGGCGTACCCCCCCCCCTGGTTTCGCGAAGGCGATGAGGCGGGATGGCGAGAGTAGTGCTGCAACCTCGGTGGAGAGATTCGTCGAGAGAAGGTGTGTTACGGCGGAGTGCAGGTGCCCTAGCACTTCGATGTTACTTAGGGCTGGGTCGCGGTAGTGTTCAAATGTTGACCCTGATGGACCAGCCCCAACTCCGCTAGGGCAATCCCCGAGGACGTCTGAGAAACGTTCCGTGGTGCACGAAAATTGCGTGGGTGTTGTGTAGGTGTGGACCCAGTCGGGCAGCTCAATTTGGGGTTGGGGGTGTTTCAATTCCAACTGCTGCAATGTTGCAATCGTCGCAGGGGCAGCTGGCGAGGGTTGAAGGGCTGCCAACGCTTTTCGCAGGTTACCCCGTTTCACCAACCCCTCCACACGTGAGCAGATTCCCAGGGGGTCATTTTGGTGCTGAGGTGGCTCAGCTTGGTGCAGGGACCCCACGTAGTCACTGTACAGCTGGTTCCAGTGGCCACATCTGAATAGGTGCATCTGTTCTCGTAGCACCTTCCACCTAGAGCTGGACCTCCTGCTAAGTCGTAAGGTGAGACGTGGCAGGAACATGAGGACCCGCCACGCTCCCGCGCAGTTTGGCAGTTTAGAGATCCGTAAGAGGGCGGCCAGCATACAGGTGGAGTAGTCGCTTAGTATCTGCGGCGGCAGGCGGCGGACGATAGGCAGGTGAGTGGTCGACGTTAGGGTTGAAGGGTCCCAGCTCATCGCGATCTCAAAGAGATCCTCCCTCGATGCCAGCTGGGACGCTGACAGGGCTTGGTCTGGAGGGGGTTGGGGTCTGCGGTTCTGTCGGCGGCTAGAACCTCTCTCCTGCTGCTGCGCCTGCTCCTCCCCCGCTTCCGCGAGAGGTGAGTCGAGGTTGTCAGGTTGCCTCAGATCTGACGGTACATATTCGTCGTCGCTCCCCTCTGCGTTTGTATCACCGATTCTCACTGCTTGCGCTGTCGTTCCTCCTCTCCCCCCGCGTCTAGCGAACGACTGGCGCGTGATTCCGCCGGCTCCCCCAACCAGATTGGGCTCGGTAGTTGGCGCGGATTCCCCCTCGCCGCTTGCCCTGCACTCCGCTGACCTCCGCGCGCTCCTCGACGCCCGCCTCTCCCCCGCGTGCTTCCTCGTCCGCTCCTCGGAGTGGCTGCCACAGGTGCCGCCTGTTGCGCCTGGGAGATCGGCGTTGTCGGCTCCTCTTGTGTCAGTGGAGCGCCCTGCGCGCTAGCCCATGGATTTCCTTGGCGCTCTGGGCCGTGACTGCACCGCGGAGAGCGATCCCGCTCCCCGTCCGCTTCCTCCTGCGCGCCCAGCCGCGAGCGTGCCTGTTGCTCCGCCGGCGTCCGCTGATCAGATTCGCCGCCGCTTCGAGGATCAGCGGCGCGAGTTGGCTCCGCGCGGGGGCAGGTCCTCGTCACCGCGGGAGCCCCTGCGCGCGGTGTCCGTCGCGCGCTCCGGCGCAGAGGCTGTGGCGCACCCGGAGCGTTCGCCTCGCCGTCGTTCATCGGCAGCTCGCGACGATAAGCGGGAGAGCCGCCGCGGCGATCGTCACGGTGTGGTTCGTTCGCCGCTGTCACCTCGTTCGCCTCGTCGCGTGGCGTCGCGGAGCCGGTCCCGTGACCGCCGCTCGCATCGTCATCGTTCGCCCGCTCACCGTTCATCTCGTCAGCGATCGCCTGCCCGCCAGATGTCTGGGCATCGGCCCCCAGCTCCGCGTTCGACCCCTCCTGCAAAGCGCCAGCGGCTCTACTCTCCTCGTCGCGGGGACCGTTCCCCTGGCCGCCAGCGTCAGCAAGGCCCATCTCGCCCGCAGTCGCCTGTGCGCTCGAACGCAAGTGGGCGTGCGCGTCGTGGGCGACGGGGAGGTTATGGTCGCGGCGGAAACGCGCGTCCAGCGCCGTCCGCAGTGGAGCGCCGACTTCTGGATAGGCTTGATGACGTGGAGAAGGAGCTTCGTCGCTCGCGTGCGGGGTCGGCGTCACCATCAGCTCCTCGAGCTGTTCCCGTCGTCCCTCTCTCCGCGCTCCTGCCCCACAATCCTTTTGGATCCCCGGCGCGCTCAGAGCGGCCGCTGCCTGCGGGGATGGGCTTCGTAGGCGCTGGTGGCGGGCCGCCGTGGGCTCAGTTTGCTCCGCCGTGTCCTCTTCCTGCTCCGCGCGATCTCGTCGTGTCATCTCACCGTGCCCGCACGTCTGTGTTTCCTCCGCCGATGAAGAAAGTTCCCACGGCGACCCTGGCCCGCCTATGGTCGCTGGCGGCGTCCCTGCAGAGCCTTGAGCGGATTCTCCAGGAGTCATATGACTCCATGCCGGTGAGCCCTCCGAGCAGGTTCTCTCAGAAACCGCGAGCTGATTGTCATGCGGCGGCGTTAGCGCTATTCGCGCTCGTAACGCCACTGCAGGTAGAGCCCTCGCCGGGAGCAACCTCGGCCAGCCAGCTGGCTGACTCGGCCCTGGCTCTGAGGACGCTTGTAGCAGGTCCTGGTACTCCTGTTGACGTTGTAGGCGCCACCGTGTTAGTGGTCCGCCAGTTGTGGTTGAACACGAGCGGAATGCTCGCTGCGGTAGACGCGGACCGCATGTAGGCGCTCCCCCCTTGCGCGTGTAGACCCGTTCCATCGTCGTCTTGCTAAGTGTTCTTGCTTGCCTTGCTTGTATCGGTTGCCTAAGCTACTACTGCTTGTTGTTCCCCCTTGCCATCCCTAACGCGCGGCCGAAGGCCGCGCTCGCGAGCGCCGGCGGCCGAAGCGCCGAAATTTCCAGCACTAACTGAAAGAATGAGAGATGGAGAGGCCGCCGTGGCCTTAAGTACTCATGGCAGAGGGCAGAAAGCAGAGGGCAGAGGGTAGAAGGGGAGAGGCTAATCCTCTCTCTCTCTCGCTCTCTCTCTCTCTCTCTCTCTCTCTCTCTCTCTCTCTCTCTCTCTCTCTCTCTCTCTCTCTCTCAGCAGCACGCACGCACGCCCAACGCCACACTCACTCATGCTGTTCCTCTCTCACAACTACCGAGCATATGTGCTTGCTGGAGTAGAGGTGGTTTGCTGGAGCGAAGGTGTGCTGTGTGGTACCCCACACAGTGTGCTGTGTGCTGTTCTGTGCTGTGCTGTGGTGCGGGTGGTGGCAGGAACGTGAGTTATAACCTCATCAGGGCACCACTGTCGCCAGGCATAGCCAACCTGCAACAACTAGTATACCTGTACGTGCTCCACACACGCTCCACACACAATCCACACAACATCCACACACAGTCCACACACACTCTCTATGCGGCCGTGCAATGCCGTCACTCATCACGCCCTGCATGCTCCTGGCCACTCGCCACCACGCTCCCTCTGCACCTGCTCTCCTCTTCCCTCCCTGTACAGCACACCCACATTCGCCTCCCCGCTCCTGCATTTCTGACGACTCTTGAGTCGACTCAAACCTCTTCCCCGTACAGTACACCACACCCGCGTCCGCCTCGCCTCTGCATTTCTGCATGTATTCCATCAACCCATAGGGCCTGAGCTGAGCGTTTTGTGCGTGCTCGTGCTTGCTCATCCACACTGGTGCGCTTGCGCGAGCGAGCAGGGACACTTCGGGGAACAACGTGACAAAGGTGGACGCCCTCTCCACCCTCACCAACCTGCAATCCCTGTGAGGGGGAAGAAAGAGGAAGGAGGGAAGGGGAACTAGCACGGGTCATGCGCGCCTGTGGCTGGAAGCGGCAGGCAGCAATCACCGGTTGTTTGTGCCATTCGTACCAAGAGAATGCTGGCATGCCACGTTCTGCTGCAGGAATGCTTGTGTGCGGACCTCTGCGCGCCGCTTAAACTGCAAGCGAATGCTGCTAGCATGCCACGTGCTGTGCTGTGCAGGACCGCTTGCTTGTGTGCCTTCCTCTGCAATGCCACCCACCCAGTGCAGTGCAGTGCAGCCTCCCCACACCTGCCCAGTGCCCACACTCCCTCTGCACGATCCGCAACATGGGGCGGGGATCTTAGCTAGCTGGTGTGCTCGCGCTACCGCACAGCTCATTTGACGCACATGTGCGTTTGTGAACTCCGCCCTGATGCTGGCAAGACGTTGTTGTTCCTCCCGTTTTGCTGTTCTGCCTGTGTGCCTGTATGCCTGTATGCCTGTATGCCTGTATGCCTGTATGCCTGTGTGCGTGTATGCCTGTATGCCTGTGGGTGGGAGATGCAAATGCACAGGATAATTCAAGAATGCGGGATAGGCCCTGCGCCTCTAACCATTTTCACCCCGTTGACAGCATTACAGGACTTGTGCGTACACACACACCCTCCTCTCTCAACCCCTGCGTGCTTTCTCAAACGGTCATAGTATTAGGTACCTACATGCTGCAGATTGGGGACGTCACGTTTAAGGGAGTTTACGTTTAGGGGAACTAACGTTAAGTGGACTTATCGTTTAGGGGACTAGGAGAGTCTACATCTGGGGGGTTCTACATGTGGGGGAGTCTACAAGCAAGGAAGCTCTAACAGGAGCTCTCTCCTCTCCCTCCTACAACACTACAGCAAAGCATTCCCCAGGTGAGAGCTCTTTCTCATTCCTTCTCTCCTTACTTGTCTCCTTCCCTCTCGCCTTTCCTCTCTCCCTCCATCTCCCTCCATCTCCCTTTCCCTCCCTCTTTCTCGCCTTTCTTCTCTCATTCCCTTGCTCTTCCATTTTCGAAGGGTCACAAAGAATGGCGTCGCAAAGCTCTCCCTTGCGTGTGTTGCTGTTGACATGACTACACAATGAACTCCCCCGTGTGCGTGCGTGCACAGAGTTCTGTACGACAACTCGTTTGAAGGCTCTCTTGCTGCCCTCTCAACACTCACTAGCCTACAACACCTGTGAAATCCTCACCTCACCTCACCTCACCTCACCTCACTGCACCTCACCTCACCTCACCTCACCTCACCTCACCTCACCTCACCTCACTGCACCTCACCTCACCTCACCTCACCTCACCTCACCTCACCTCACCTCACCTCCAACACCTGTGTGACCCTCCCCCATCACCCGTTTCCCATTGGCCTGTCACCCGTACCCCTTCCCCACTCATTCTCACACCACCACCACTCACTCACGAACAATTACCTGCAGTAGCTTACAGCACATGCCATCGCCCATTCGCCTCGTATGCTGGATGAACTGATGAGACTGTGCACGCCCGTCCGTCTGTCCGTTTGTTTGTTTGTTTGTTTGTTTGTTTGTTTGTTTGTTTGTTTTTGCTCCTCGCTGTGTCTCTCTTTCACTACTGGAGTTCCCCTTTGGCAGGAACTTGGGCTCCAACAATATAGGACCAGACATACCATCCACCATCTCCCGCCTCTCCAAGCTCTCCTACCTGTACGCACGGCGCATCACACACACACACACACACACATGGCCAAAGGGTGCAGAACAAACAAAAGTTGCGGATGCTCCAGCGTACCTATTGGTTCTCTGAGTGAAGACAGTAGCACAGCACACTCGTGAGGCTCCTGATGAGGTCACCCTGTTGTCAGTGGTTGCATTGTTGCTCTGCTGGTCGGCTCTCTCCTGATGGGTGGTTGTTGCTGTTGTCGGTATTTGAGCGAGCCATGAACATGGCGATTGGTCGGAAAGGAACTGACCACATGCCCACATGCCCACACGCCCACATGCCCGCAGCCTTCATGCCCACATACCCACATGCCCGCATGCCTGCATGCCTGCATGGCCACATGCTTCATGCCCACATGCTTCATGCCCACATGCCCACGTGCCCCCATGCCTGCATGCCCTAATGCCCTGATGCCACCATGCTCACTCCGTTACTGCCGCGCCTTCCACACACGTGTCTCTGAACTGAAGACAAAACCGTGCCACGCAGCCATTTATTGATGAAGCTCGGTGTTTGTTACACACGCACACACACATGCACGCACGAACACGCGCATTCTCCCCCTCACCCCCCCACCCCACACACACATTCTCCCCATTTTAACAGCGATCTTTCATATACTCTCCTGAGTGGCCCCATCGACCCGCTCACAACCCTCCCTGCACTGAAAGACCTGTCAGTATTCTTGCTCGTGCGTGCTGCTTGCGGTCACACCGCACTCTTTATATGTGCACATCTATCCATCCATCTATCCATCCATCTATCCATCCATCCATCCATCCATCCATCCATCCATCCATCCATCCATCCATCCATCCATCCATCCATCCATCCATCCATCCATCCATCCATCCATCCATCCATCCATCCATCCATCCATCCATCCATCCATCCATCCATCCATCCATCCATCCATCCATCCATCCATCCATCCATCCATCCATCCATCCATCCATCCACCCATCCAGGTGCATCGCTGTGCTCTTGCTCCCGCTGCTGCACGCAGGTTCCTATTCAACACCGCTGTATCAGGCTCTTTTCCTGAGTCCATCTCACGCCTGTCTCACCTCTCCATGCTGTGAGCCATGCAACTGCCGTGCAACTGCCACCACACTACCACCACCAGTGCCACTACCTCTCCTCTCTTCTCCGCCCCTTACTGCCACCACCAGTGCAGTGAGGAGCGAAGAGGAGGGTAACAGAGTACCCTCCTCTCCGCTCCAATCTATGCATGCGTGCTCTGGTTTCTAACCACGCACACACTAATAACGTAACTCATTCATTTACTTCGTTCTCTACATTTCGTGCAATCTTCGACTTCAACCCGCTGCGTCATCCCTCTTCCCACCGGCATTCCTGCCACACCTCCAGGGTGATCAGCAGGACCAACTTCACGGGCTCCCTTCCTGCATCCCTAGGCCAGATGCTCAGTCTCACCTACTTGTGAGCTCACATCCCATTCGTTTCAGTGCGCCTCAACCACGCTGTTTTGAGGCCTCGAGATTCCTCACCGCGTTGAGTTGCCTCTGCCCCCTAGCAGCTGCACCAACGTGAATCTTCACAGACAGAACACAGCCAAGGTAGCTACTAAAGCGAATCTTCACATCAATCGACGAAACACACAGACAAACAAACCGGGTGCAACGCTTGCCAGCAAAGGTTTAGAGTGCCATCTTGCATGAACTGAGGTGACTTTTGAGTCGACTCAAAAGTCGAGTCGACTCAAAATTCGAGTCGACTCAAAAGTCGAGTCGACTCAAGAGTCACCTTGCCAGCAAAGGTTTAGAGTGCCATCTTGTATGCACTGAACCGCAACGCAAGGTGCCCGCTCACAACTCGTCAGAGTTGCTGTGAAGCCATTTCCGTCCATTTATCCCCTGCCTGCCGTGTGTCTCCTCCTCTCCTCCCTCGCGCCCAGTTACCTGGATAAGACAACCATGGTGGGGTCGCTTCCAGCAGCCCTGGGTAACCTCACTCGCCTTCAGCAGATGTAAGGCTCGTGCTGTGCTGTGCTGTGCTGTGCTGTGCTGTGCTGTGCTGTGATGTTGTGCAGTCCAATGTGGTGTGATGTGATGCAGCTCTGTGGGAGCCGTCGTTGTACCGGCCGTTCTCCCATCTCGAAAGCCATCGATTCTCGTTCATGCCGCAGCACTTCCACTCCACCAAGTCAACAGCGCGGATCACAGGATGGTGAGCTGGTGGCTGAAATCTTGGATGATCTGAAGGCGGTAGTGTTCTGTGTTCCTTTCACTCCCCACGCTCCAATCAAAAGACGCTTGCTGCCACGCTGCCTGCCCTTTCTTCCAGTCGCATCATTGCTTCCTCCTTGTGCTTCCCTCTGCCGTTCTTGCAATATACTCGTCTCAAAAGGCATTGTGTCACTCTGTTTTACCTTCTCCACTGCCCACCTTCCACCACTCCCCTCCTCTCATCTAAATTCCCTCCTCTCGCCTCTCCACTCCTCTCCTCCCCTCCCATCCCCTCCCCTCCCCTCCCCCCCCCCCTCCCTTTCCCCTCCCCCCCCCCTCCCTTTCCCCTCCCCTTCCCTCCCCTCACCTCCCCTTCCCTCCCCTCCCCTCCCCTCCCCTCCCCTCCCCTCCCCTCCCCTCCCCTCCCCCCCCCCCCATTCTTTCCTTGCTTCTCACAGCTCGTTTGAGCCCATGAGCAACACGGTGGGGCCAAAGTGCGGCAAGGGGGGAGCGTGCGTGGTGAATCAGACGGCAGAGTCCGCCTTCTGCAACTCCTGCCTGGACTTCTGCATCTCCTGCTCGCCCCCGGGCCTCTGTGCTGGCTGCAAAGGTGCGTGTGGGTGAGTAGGGATGAGCATGGGCCAATCCCGTGTGGTCAAGACGGCGTTTCTCTAACCCACACCATAAACGCTACGAGATTGCACCCCTTATTTCCATGAATATCGAGTGAAAAATCAAGGGTGGTAAGGCTGTACTGAATGGCAATTCGTTTGACGTCTCTTCCCTTTCCCTTTCCGTTTGTGTTTTTCTTCTAGACACGCGCTGGCACAGAGCACACAGACCTTCTGCCCCCACCTGCACCCTTCATTTCCCCCTCTCCATTCTCCCTGCATCCATGTCTCTCCCCTTGTCAGTGTCTCCACCCCAGCCACCGCCACTACCACCAGCGAGCAGCGGCAACAGCAGCAGCAGCAGTAGCAGCGGAAACGGCGGTGGTGGCTTATCGACGGGGGCAATCATAGGCATCGTGTGTGGGGTGGTGGTGCTGCTGCTCGCACTGCTGCTCGCTGCCCTTTTCTTCCTCTACCGGAGGAAGAAGGTCTCTCGCTTCGGTGAGCCCTCTTGCTTAGCAAAGGAGCATTTAACATCTCTCGCATTGGTACAACCTGCGCGCTTCAGACAAGACGACATCTAGTTTGCACACATACAGGCAGGCACGGGGCACTTTGGTAGAACCTCGCTTGCTCGCATATTGGTGTCCCTGGTGTCCCTGGTGGTGTCCCTGGTGGTGTCCTTAAGCACACAGCCTCGTTTCCCTATGATCATTGTCACTCGCTTGCATCATCACTCCCACTGACACTATCACCACTGCCAATACCACCACCACGGCCATGCAGGAGCATTGGTGGCGGGCGTGTGTGTGGAGTATACAATGAAGGAGATGCAGCAGGCCACCAACAACTGGGCGGACGCCAACCTGCTGGGGTCGGGGGGCTTTGGAGACGTGTACAAGGGCGTGTCGCCTCAAGATGGCACCACGCTGTGGGCTGTGAAGCGCGCCAAAGTGATCACCAACGACTTCCAGCGGGAGGTGCGTGCGTGCGTGGGTGGGAGTGTGGGTGGGTGCATTGTCTTGTCTTGAAAAACGAATGAGCTGGCCATTTGAAAGCAAACCAGCTTTGCTTGCGATGCTTTCAACGCAGGAGAGCCAGAGAGCTGTGGCGCACGCATGTCATGTGAGGGATCTGCATCAGCCCCTCACATGCCCCTCATGTCTCGTGCTTAATCTCCAGTGTGTACCCACACGGCACAGGTGCACGAGATGGCAACGAAGCACCACCCCAACTTGGTGCGCCTGCTGGGCTACGCCACGTGTGGGGACCTGCGGGAGCGCATCGAGCAGATCCTCGTCTACGAGTTCATCTCCCATGGGGACCTTGACAAATGGCTCAGTGCAGGTGGGGGGTGTATGATTGCATGACACTGTGCAGTGGTCCCCACTGCGGTTACCAAGGCGTTTCTCTCCTCATCCCCGCATCCTCGGAAAACCTGACCTCAAACCTCACCTCAAACCTGACGTCAAACCTGACCTCAAACCTGACATCAAACCTGACGTCAAACCTTACCTCAAACCTGACCTCAAACCTGACCTCAAACCTGACATCAAACCTGACGTCAAACCTGACGTCAAACCTGACCTCAAAACCTGACGTCAAACCTGACCTCAAACCTGACGTCAAACCTGACGTCAAAACTGACGTCAAACCTGACGTCAAACCTGTCGTCAAACCTGACGTCAAACCTGACCTCAAACCTGACGTCAAACCTGACGTCAAACCTAACGTCAAAACTTACCTCAAACCTGACCTCAAACCTGACCTCAAACCTTACCTCAAACCTGACCTCAAACCTGACGTCAAACCTGACGTTAAACCTGACGTCAAACCTGACCTCAAACCTGACCTCAAACCTGACCTCAAACCTGACGTCAAACCTGACCTCAAACCTGACGTCAACCCTGACGTCAAACCTGACCTCAAACCTGACGTCAAACCTTACGTCAAACCTCACCTCAAACCTGACGTCAAACCTTACGTCAAACCTGACGTCAAACCTTACGTCAAACCTTACCTCAAACCTGACGTCAAACCTGACGTCAAACCTGACGTCAAACTTGACGTCAAACCTGACCTCAAACTTGGCGTCAAACCTGACGTCAAACCTGACCTCCGACCTGACGTCACACCTGACCTCAAACCTGACGTCAAACCTGACCTCAAACCTGACGTCAAACCTGACGTCAAACCTGACCTCAAACCTGACGTCAAACCTTACGTCAAACCTTACCTCAAACCTGACGTCAAACCTTACGTCAAACCTGACGTCAAACCTGACGTCAAACCTGACGTCAAACCTGACGTCAAACCTTACGTCAAACCTTACCTCAAACCTGACGTCAAACCTGACGTCAAACCTGACATCAAACTTGACGTCTAACCTGACCTCAAACTTGGCGTCAAACCTGACGTCAAACCTGACCTCAGACCTGACCTCAAACCTGACCTCAAACCTGACATCAAACCTGACGTCAAACCTTACCTCAAACCTGACCTCAAACCTGACCTCAAACCTGACCTCAAACCTGACGTCGAACCTGACGTCAAACCTGACCTCAAAACCTGACGTCAAACCTGACCTCAAACCTTACGTCAAACTTGACGACAAACCTGACGTCAAACCTGACGTCAAAACTGACGTCAAACCTGACCTCAAACCTGACCTCAAACCTGACGTCACACCTGACCTCAAACCTGACGTCAAACCTGACCTCAAACCTGACGTCAAACCTGACGTCAAACCTGACGTCAAAACTTACCTCAAACCTTACGTCAAACGTGACGTCAAATTTGACCTCAAACCTGACGTCAAACCTGACGTCAAACCTGTCCTCAAACCTGACCTCAAACCTGGCGTCAAACCTGACGTCAAACCTCACCTCAAACCTGACGTCAAACCTGACCTCAAACCTGACGTCAAACCTGACGTCAAACCTGACGTCAAACCTTACCACAAACCTGACGTCAAACCTGACCTCAAACCTGACCTCAAACCTGACGTCAAACCTGACATCAAACCTGACCTCAAACTTGACGTCAAACTTGACGTCAAACCTGACGTCAAACCTGATGTCAAACCTCACGTCAAACCTGACCTCAAACCTGACGTCAAACCTGACGTCAAACCTGACCTCAAACCTGACCTCAAACCTGACGTCAAACCTGACGTCAAACCTGACCTCAAACCTCACCTCAAACTTGACGTCAAACCTGACGTCAAACCTGACCTCAAACCTGACCTCAAACCTCACGTCAAACCTGACGTCAAACCTGACGTCAAACCTGACCTCAAACCTGACCTCAAACCTGACCTCAAACTTGACGTCAAACCTGACGTCAAACCTGACGTCAAACCTGACTTCAAACCTGACCTCAAACCTCACGTCAAACCTGACGTCAAACCTGACCTCAAACCTTACCTCAAACCTGACGTCAAACCTGACCTCAAACCTGACCTCAAACCTGACGTCAAACCTGACGTCAAACCTGACGTCAAACCTGACGTCAAACCTGACCTCAAACCTGACCTCAAACTTGACGTCAAACCTGACGTCAAACCTCACGTCAAACCTCACGTCAAACCTGACCTCAAACCTGACGTCAAACCTGACGTCAAACCTGACCTCAAACCTGACGTCAAACCTGACGTCAAACCTGACGTCAAACCTGACCTCAAACCTCACCTCAAACTTGACGTCAAACCTGACCTCAAACCTGACCTCAAACCTGACCTCAAACCTGACGTCAAACCTGACCTTAAACCTGACCTCAAACCTGACCTCAAACCTGACGTCAAACCTGACGTCAAACCTGACGTCAAACCTGACCTCAAACCTGACCTCAAGCATCCTCGCATCTCTGAATGCCTGCATCCACTGCCTCTGTGCGCTGTGGCTGTGCAGACGCTCCCGCTCCCCTCGCGTTGAGGCAGCGGCTGGACATTATCGTGGGAGCAGCGCGCGGGTTTGAGTACCTGCATGGCTTTGGCATCGTGCATCGCGACATCAAGCCCGCCAACATCCTGCTGGACTCACACATGCAGGTGAGTTCATGCAAGTGGTAAGCCCGCAGCAGCACAAGGGAACAGCTGCAGCGGCACTGTCTGCTGTCTGGTAAAAAAAAAAATCCCTCTCCCTCTCTCCTAAGTATATTTACCTTCCTTTTGTCCATCCATCCATCCATCCATCCATCCATCCATCCTTCCATTCATCCATCCATCCGTCCATCCATCCATCCATCCATCCGTCCGTCCGTCCGTCCGTCCGTCCGTCCGTCCGTCCATCCATCCATCCATCCATCCATCCATTTATCCATCCATCCATCCATCCATCCATCCATCCATCCATCCATCCATCCATCCATCCATCCATCCATCCATCCATCCATCCATCCATCCATCCACCCACCCACCCACCCGTGCACGCCCCTACCACCGCTCCTAACAGCCCAAGGTGGCTGACTTTGGTCTCGTGCGAGTGGAGGAGGGCACCAGCGCTCAAGCCACGCGGGTGATGGGCACACCGGGCTATGTGGACCCCGCTTATGCTCGCACACGCAAGGCCACTCCCGCCACTGATGTGTACAGGTGCCTTTGTGTACAGGTGCCCTTGTTTACAGGTGCCTTTGTGTACAGGTGCCCTTGTTTACAGGTGCTCATGTGTTGGTGAAATAGGTGGTGGTGTGCTCATGTGCCCATGTGTACAGGCACACATAATCATGCTGCTTCCGAGTGTCTCCGCATTCCAGAGGCTCATGTGCTGCAGATGGTTGCTGAATCAGTATGCTCATTGGCTTTGATGACCTCTCGCTCTCCTTGCATGCTTGCCTCTTGGTGTGCATAAGTCTATGTGTGTGCATGCGTGCGTGCGTATGTTCCCCTGTACGCATATGTTTGTGCGTGCGTGCGCATGCATGTGTGCGTACACGTGTGCCTGTTCATATGTGCTTGCGTGTGGGTATGTACACATTCTTGTGTGTGTGTGTCTAATCGTCCCCGTGTGCACATGTGTGTGCGTGTGTGTGTGTGCGTGTGTGTGTGCACATGTGCATGTGTGCTGCAGTTTCGGTATTCTCATGTTGGTGGTGCTCACGGGCAAGCCTGCCACATATGAGGATGACACAAACCACTCCAGGGGCATCCTCAAATGGGTATGCACACCTTTCTCCCTCCACCTTCCTCCTTCCACTTTCTCCCTCGCTCCACCTTCTCCCCCTCTCCCCCTTCTCATCTTCCCTCAAAATAATCCGGCCTCTTTCCTGCACCCTTTCTGTCCCCATCCCACCTCCACCCCCACCCCCCCCTCCCCACCCTTCCCTTTTCCCCCCACTCCCACCAGCCGCTATCAATACCCTTCCCCTACCTCCTCTCACCTCCTTCCACCTCTCCCCACCCCGTTCCACCACTCACTCTCCCCCCCAACACCCGCAGGTCCAGGAGAAGCTGGGCCAGGGGGGTTCTATCGAAGAAATCGCAGATGCGTGCATGGGCCCCGTCCCTCCAGACGCGCTGCAGCGCATCACAGACCTGGCCATGCGCTGCACTGCCACCTTCACTGCTGACCGCCCCTCCATGGGCCGCATTGCCCAGGAGATGGATGCGCTGCGTGGTGAGGTGGGCGGTGGGGAGGAGCAGCAGGTGCACAAGGCGTACGAGGTTGTGGATGCTGAGCTGAGGGCGAGGATGCAGCAGCAGCAGAAGATGAGTGAGCAGAGTATGGACTCTTTTCTTGATTCGATTCACTCGGGGAAGATCGGGAGCATGAGGGACACGGGGGGGATGAGCACGGGTGATGCCTCTAATGTGTGAATGCGTGGAAAGAAGGGCGAGGATGGAATGGACGTAAGTTCGGAGAGTATTATGGTAACGAGCCTCTGACTGACTGGGAATAAAAAAAAACGCGCAGTGGCGAAACTTATGTGCCTGCACTGTACCGGTATCTCTCTCTGAACAATGAGTTGGATTTGTGGTGGTACCTTATGTAAAAAGGTCTTTATTCTGAATTACCAGAGGCATATGCATACAATACTGGATACCGTAACTACCGTAATGTGTGAAAGTTACAGTATCTCATTACGTTGCCTAGTCCCTTGTGGCTCAACAAGAGGAATCAACCACTTCTAGTCCGCCTCACCACTTCTAGTCCGCCTCACCACTTCCTGCAGCAGCCATACAAGTCTGATGGGCCACGCAGCATCACCCATGCGTGAAGGCTAGCGCATAATTCATTCAAATATCATCAGCACATGGCCACTTTTGAGTCTAGACATGATGAAGGTTTGTATAATTCATAAAGTTACTGGTGTGATGCACATTCCACTGTCCCTTTCCTTGATCTTGGCTATAAGGCTTTAAGGGTGTATGCTGAAGGGACTAACAACCTGAGTACACCTTAAGATCATGTGCCACGTAATTGGAACAGCTCCAATCATGTGCCACACGGTGTTGCTCCTACTAATACAATATTCATAAAACCGCACCTCATAAGAAGCTACTCCACATAGGCACTGTATCATCTAAAAAAACCACAAGGACTACCCTACAGGTCAAAATGGCTACATGAATGAACCAATGAGACATGCCATCGAGGCACTACATAGCTGCCATGCCATGCTATGTAATTATGGTCAGCCCATGCATCTTGCGGAGGCCACGCCACTGTGCTCGGGACACGCCATCAGTCGCTTGCTTGCACCCTCTGACATTCAAGTGCCGCAGCACCTTCAGCTCCGTCAATTCCTCTGGCAAGGCCTCTAATTGCACGCAGTCAAGCAGGCTGATTCACCTCAGCCCAGTCAGCTGTGCAAACCCAGGGGGAAGGGATCTGATGGAAGTCCTCTCGAGTTTAAGTGTGTGGAGACAACGAAGCTGTGTGAGTGAAGACGGTAGCTGCTGCAGGCCCTTACACCCTGATAGACTTAAGTCACGCAACCTGGATAATGCACAGATGCCATCAGGGATTGACGTCAGCTTGGGTGCAACGACCTCTAATGATGTCAGGCATTGGAGGTGTGACAATGTCTCTGGCAGCTCCCTAAGCTCTTCGAAGCCAAAATTTTGCAAATCCCGCATCTGCTGCCAAGCCAAACCGATGCTTCGTGGGAGGGTCCGAATCATGTTAGCATCAAGTATACTCAAGATGAGGAGCTGATAAAGTGGCTCCATGGCGATCGGAAGCTGATGGACGTTGTCTGCCAATCCCAGCGCCAAGTGCCTCAGACAAGGCGGCAGGGAGATCTGAGGCAGTGAATAAGCTCGACTGTTGCCGTACCAAAACATAACCTCAAGGAAGAGTGGCAGTGACGTGGGAAACTCACAGAGTTGACTGCACTTGTTTATCCTCAAACACTTCAGCTCCATGAGTCTGCTTAGGCTTCTTGGCAGCAAAGAGAGCTGGTGACAACCCTCAATGATCAAGGTCACAAGGCTAGTGAGCCCTGTAATGGAATCTGATATCTCCATGAGAGCATCACAGTCATGAATGTAGAGATGCTGCAGGTTACTCAAATTGTCCAGACCCTCGGGAAGCGTTGTGAATGCGCACTTGCCAAGCTCGAGACTCTTTAGAGAAATCAGCTGTGCAAAGGAAGGGAAGAGCCGCTGCGTGCATCGATGCAGGTAAAGAGTCTCGAGGTTACTGAGCCATCCGATTCTCTCTGGAAGAACCGTCAGCAAAAGATTCTCGAGGTTCAGTGTCTTGAGAGATGTGAGGCTGCAAAAATCTGCTGGAAGCTGGTTGATCCAATAGCAGTCACGCAGCAACAGCGTTTCCAAAGCTGTAGCTTGGCAGAGGGAGTCAGGTAGCTTGCGAAGATTCAAGTACACCAGCACCAGTGTCTTGAGCGCAGGCAGCTGTCCAAAGTTCTTAGGCAGGCTGCGAAGCCCGTGGCACCCGGCAATGGTCAAGCACTCTAATCCAGTTAGGGCTGTGATATTATTTGGGAGTTTGCCGAGCCGAGAACAATCCTAAATGGTCAGCTCACGCAGGCATGGCAACAGCTCTCCGATGTCAACGGGAAGGCACTCGAGGTTGGCGGATTTGGTGATCACCAGCCGTTCAAGACCGGCAGCAGCAGCAGCAGCCGTAGCAGCAGCGGGGGTAGAGGGCTAGGCTAGGCTAGGTGTAGCTGCGGGTGAGGTATGGTAACCGGTGAGGTATGGTACCAGGTGTGGTATGGTAAACTTATCCCCTCCTCTCTCTCTCACCCCGTTTTCCCCTGCAGGCTGACGTGGGAGCACTGGAGCAAGGGCAGGAGAGTGGAGTCCACCCTCTCACACTCCTCCTCCTCTCTCCCTTTTCCCTTCCCACCCACCACCACCCTGCCTGGACACAGTGGAGTCCCGCCCTTCCCTAATCCCCCCGCCTCCCACTTCCCAGCAGCCTCAGCATCATGGCGCTCTGCCCGGCTGTGGTGAGTGGAGGTAAGTAGAGGTAAGGAGGCATGGGGGTGAAGTGTGGGGTGGGTGGTGGGGAGCATGGGAGCAAGCGGGGAGTTCACTGCCTTAGGGACAGCATCATCTGGGGTTGTGCCATGTGGTCGGGGTGTGGTGGGCGGAATCTGTGCGGCACGGCACTCGGTGCTCAAGTAACCGATCTGGCGTTTAAGGCTTAATGGACACCGTCAGAGCCGACCGGCCGGCGGCTCTGGTTCGCGTCAGCTCTAGCCACGTCAGGGGTGGGATTTGATTCTTGGGATGGAAGCAATTTTCCACTACCACACCTCATCCCACAAGGCACAGCCTTTGGGGGTGTTTTTTCCCTAACGAAGTGGGCTGCCTGCTGCTCCTACTGCTGGCAAGTGAAGGTGAGAAGGGGCTGAAACCCCTTGGGTGGGTAAGTGAAAGAGGAGGGTGATGAGTGGAAGAGAAGGGGTTGAAACACATTGGGTGAAAGAGAAGGGGCTGAAACCCCTTGGGATGGGGAGAGGAAGAGGAGGGGTTGAAACCTCTTGGGAGTGTGAGTGAAAGGGAAGGGGCCGAAACCCCATGGTTGGGTGAGTGGAAAGAAGGGGAACCTGAATTCCCCAGCCCAGGGTAAGTGCAGTGAGTGGCAATGGTGGGGGCCTGAATCCCCCAGTGTAAGTGCAGTGAGCGGCAATGGTGGGGGCCTGAATCCCCTAGGGTAAGTGCAGTCTGGAATTCATCGAGTGGTAACGTGAGGTGGAAAGGGGCTAAATTTTGGGTACAGTTTGGAATGATACACTCTGGTGTGGTTCAGTTTGGTATGATTCCAGTGTAGTATGATACAGCGGTATCACACGGTGTGGTATCATACATTGAGGTCTGATACATTACGGTATGATACAGTGTGGCATCATACAGTGTTTTATGTTACGGGTGGTGTGATACAGTGTGTTATCATACGGTTTTTGTGTGATGCAGTGTGGCATGATGCAGTGCGGTTGGATGCACAGTGGTAATGTTCAGTGTGGCTTGTTTCTGTGTGGCTTGTTTCTGTGTGGCTTGTTTCAGTGTGGCTTGTTTCTGTGTGGCTTGTTACTGCGTGACATGGTGTGCCATCGTATGGCATGGTGTGGCATTTCATTTGGTGGCATAGCATGATGCGGCATGTCATTTTGTGGCATGGCATGATGTGACATGTCATTTTGTGGCATGGCATGGTGTGGCATGTTGGCATGGCATGTTGTGGCATGTCATTTTGTGGCAGTGCATGGTGTGGCAAGTCATTTTGTGGCATGGCATGATGTGGCATGTCATTTTGTGGCATGGCATGGCCTGGCATGGCATGGCATGGCATGGCATGGCATGGCATGGAATGGCATGGCATGGCATGATATCATGCCATATCCAGGCTGGCAGCATCTGGAGGGCAGTGGAGCACGATCGAAGGCAAGGAAGACAGTGTGGGAGGAAAGAGAAAGGAACTGGGGTTAGGGAGTGGAGGTGTGCATTACAGCAAGCATGGCTGCCTCACCTGCCATGCCCTTCGATGCATTGCACGCAAGGGGAAGAGGGGTTGGGTTGGGGAATGGAGATGTGCCATGTGCCAAACGTGGTTTGTTGGGGAAGTGATGACTATGTGGAGTGAAGGTCGCATGGAGGCTGCAATGCAACATATACCGTACGTAAGCACATCATGCTGGCTGCTTATCTCCACTTCACCAACCGGGTACCGATACATGGCAGTAGTGGCATGTATGTATACATGCCTGGCTGGACCAAGAACCAGAGCCTTGGTCTGGCTGACAAAACAATTGTACGGATAGAGAGAGGTGCCAGGTGTCAAATTACAATTGTATCTCTAGGCTACAGTAGGGTCACTCCTTAGTGAGTACAACACTTTAGGGTTAGGTTTCCCCTGCTTGTACTCATCTCTTGCCTAGTTCACTCATTCATTCATAGTTCTATTCTTGACATGTTATCAGAGTAGGAACCGTTCCTACATGGGCCCACCGTTCCGCCTAGTGGTAGCGCCACGCCCTACACAGTAGCCAGCACGCTGGCGCCCCTAGCTCTCACTGTCGCGACCTTTCCAAAACGGCCCGCGCGGCCATACGCTTTTTTCTCTCACAGTCGCGACCCCTCCTGACCGCGCCCTAGCTGCCCTGTGCGCCACTCGCGCGGTCCGTCAGCCCCTGCGCCCGGTCCCCCCTCGTTCCTGCTGCTGCGCGCGCCACTCGCGCTGCCCGCCAGCCCCTAGCGCGCACCTGCTGCGCCCCCCCTTTTGAGCGGCCCCACGCGCACCTGTTGCGCGCCCCTGGCTTGCAAGCCCACAGCCCGCGCGCGCCTTCTGCTGCTGCGCGCCGGCTGCTGCTGCTACGAAGAGCGAGTCTAAGGATGGAATTTCC